CATAAACATGACACTACCCCCGGGGTTTACACAGACGAGCCGGCGAAGCAAGAAGAGCGCCAGAAGAAAGGGCCCTAGCCGGCGGGGCCCAGCCAGGACAAAAGGAGGTCCCACAAAGCGCCTACACCGGCCGCATTTGCGGTCGGGGTAGACGACGGATGGGGCCCACCTACGAAGGCTGTCCAGGCCTACACGAGATGAGGCAGGATAAAGAGGGATAATCCCCCTCGATCCCAAATCATTGAGGCCAATTTCTAGCCATAGAATAATGGCGGCCAATTTCAAGCCATGGAATAATGGCGTACTCTAGGCCAATGGGGCGCTGCCTCCAGTTTCCAGTATATGCTCGAAGTACAGTATAGAACGGACACCCCTGATCTGACCAAGAACCAAGAAAAGAGCATATACCAAAAGTCTATTCAGAGTAGATTCAACAGTTGGGTAATCTATGGTGGATTGGCTGCCTTCCCATCGCTATCTTTATCTGTGATCCATGATTCATGGTTATTTGATTCGTGCGTGTGCTGTCAGTTGTCATTGTGGATCCATCTGAAATTTTTACTAGAGATCACGTTTTTATTATAAAAGAGAAACACATTTTCTCTGAAAGGTATATAAAACCACTGCTAAATACATAAATTATCAAAATGATGGTAAGTTGAAATAGTTTTTTTTATTCTAATTACAATGCGAAAGATCGTGGTTACCGGCTTGCACATGATCATTTCTTTCAATTTTTCTTTTTCTAGCAACCACAAATTCTGCTTTTGAAAGAAGGAACCGATACATCTCAGGGTAAACCGCAGCTTGTCTCAAATATAAATGCCTGCCAGTCTGTGGTTGATGCGGTACGGACCACCTTAGGACCAAGGGGTATGGATAAGTTAATTGTTGAGAAAACCGGCAAAGCTACAATTTCTAATGATGGTGCCACTATTCTGAAGCTGTTGGACATTGTTCATCCAGCAGCGAAAACTTTAGTTGATATTGCAAAGTCTCAAGATGCAGAGGTAGGCGATGGAACTACGAGTGTTGTACTGCTTGCTGGCGAATTTCTGAAGCAAATAAAACCCTATATCGAGGAAGGCGTCCACCCAAGGATTATTATTAAAGCTGTTCGTAAATCTCTTCAGATCTGTCTCGAAAAAATCAACGAACTAGCAATAAAAATCAATAAATCCAATGCTGCAGACTTTAGATCTCTTCTAGAAAAATGTGCTGCCACGGCCATGAGCTCGAAATTGATAAATTTGCAGCGTGACTTCTTTTCCAAAATGGTTGTAGATGCAGTTTTACTTTTAGATGATTTGTTACCGTTGAATATGATTGGTATTAAAAAGGTGCAGGGAGGTGCACTAGAAGAGTCGATTTTAGTAGCCGGAGTTGCTTTTAAGAAGACTTTTTCATATGCCGGTTTCGAAATGCAACCTAAAATTTATAAGAACTGTAAAATAGCTCTTTTGAATATAGAATTGGAACTTAAGGCTGAGAGAGATAACGCCGAGGTTAGAGTAGACAATGTTAAAGAATACCAGAAAATTGTCGATGCTGAATGGAAAATTCTGTACCAAAAGTTGCAGAAGATTCACGAATCTGGGGCAAATGTGGTTCTGTCGAAGTTACCCATTGGAGATGTTGCCACACAATATTTTGCTGACAGGTATCGTAAAATTTTGTATCGTTTGATAAAATTAAAAAAAAATTTGTTTGAATTTGTATTAACCCAATTAATACCTTTAAAGTAAAGTAAAAATATATTTCTTTAGGGATATGTTCTGCGCCGGACGTGTTCAAGAAGACGACCTAAAACGTACCCTTAAGGCATGCGGGGGAGCCGTTATGACGACAGCTCACGACCTTAACGACTCCGTTCTCGGAAAATGTGATCTGTTCGAGGAACGCCAGATCGGCGGAGAAAGATACAACCTCTTCAAGGGCTGTCCAAATGCGAAGACGTGCACGTTAATCCTCAGAGGCGGCGCCGAACAGTTCTTAGAGGAAACCGAACGGTCATTGCACGACGCTATAATGATCGTCAGAAGAACGATTAAAAACGACGCCGTTGTAGCTGGAGGGGGAGCCATAGAAATGGAGTTGTCAAAGATATTAAGAGATTATTCTCGCACCATCGCGGGGAAGGAACAGTTACTGATCGGCGCTATCGCCAAAGCTTTAGAAGTTATCCCGAGGCAGTTGTGCGACAACGCAGGTTTCGATGCCACCAATATACTGAACAAACTCAGACAGAAACACGCTCAGGGCAACTGCTGGTACGGGGTTGACGTCACCAAGGAAGATATTAGCGATAATTTCGAGGCGTGCGTTTGGGAGCCCGCTGTTATTAAGGTTAATGCCCTGACGGCGGCCACCGAGGCCACTTGCTTGATTTTGTCTGTCGACGAGACTATTAAAAACCAAAAATCCGAAGCTCCTCCACAGATGGGAGGCAGGGGCATGGGTAGACCAATGTAACTTCGCTTCTGCTTTGAGTATATCCTAATTTTATGTTCATTATTTAATTAATAGTAGTAAAACTTGTGTACGCTAATTTTTTGTGTTTGCTCTTAACACTTTTCTAATAAAGTTTAAACAAAAACTTTTCCCTGTTTTATTCACTGTCTACATAATCACGATTATTCTGCAAGACTTATCGATTTTGTTAGAAAATGAATTCTTTTGATTGCTTCTCTCAATTTAACTGGATAACATTTAAAATCAAAAACTTCCTTCAAATTGTCCATTCGTAAACGACGACTCCTTAAGTTACCGTCAATTGAAACAAATAAGAGTATCCTGAAAGTTCATTAAATATTATTTATTGAACATAAATTGTTACGCAAGAGATTTTAGTAGTCCATTTAATACTTGCAATGAAATAGAATTATTTTCTCCATGTGTATAAATCAATAAGATTTAAAGGGTTAAAACGTGGTATGGAATGAATGGAAAATATTTGTGGGCTCAAAAAATCTAAAAAGGTAGACTATAATGATTCTGACCAATCACAAACTGCATTTAGTTCCTCTCTAACTCCTCCAGTTTTCGAGATTTTTCAATTCCTCTCTTGACGGAAGCTCCTGCACAAAAGCCGCCCTTCCCAGCATGATTAGCACAAAATAATGATTAGTCACCCCAGATGGATACAGAATCGCCTTTAGTAAAGCACTTGATTTTTTTTTATTTTCAAGCTAATAGAAACACATTCCTATCCTATTAATCATTATTAGTTCAATAAAGTGGAACGCTGGAACGCTACTTGCAACCATAGATAAGAACAAGTACTTGCATATGCATTGCAAATTGCAACTACGGATTACAAAAAGTTCTTGCCTTAGACAGTTCTTGCAACGATTGACCAAAAAAGCTGCTTATATAGTTCCAAATTTTCATTCCGTCATCTGTCATTCAGAAACTGCACTAAACCGCGGAGGAATTCTTTACCAGGTAACCAACTGTAACAGACTCACATCACTGGTGCATTCATTGAACATTTAAAGTATAGATGGCGCCGCCTCCTTTCAAAAATAAAAAAGGTTATTACAAACAACTAAAAGTTGTTTCTTGCTGGGTTACTTGCATAAGAACTTATCACCTCAGCTTATTCAGCGACCCTAGTCCCTAGTTACTTGCGAACCGCGTTACCGTGGGCACTTTAATTCTATTTGTAATCATCAAGGTCATTTGCATCGATGGTCGATGGAAAAATGAAAAGGAGTGTTAAGATTAAGTCATTCATTACAAATGATAATATAACTTGTGAATATAACCCAGGTGTGTAGTTTCTAAAAACATATAATACAGTAGTCTCCATGATAATCCATGATATAACCTAAGAACCTCGAGTTCCGCCAAAACTGGTGTCGAGCCTGATACCGAAAAAGTTGGGTTGGATTGTCGCTCACTAGAGCGCGCCACACGGACGCGGACCCAACTTTTCCGTAAAGATATGGTGATGACCTTGAAAGCGACCGCATTCACCGTTAGTTTTGTGCGCCATCTCTTGTTTAATAGCATAATATCTTGAATTTTAAATTTTAGAATCTATCACCGTTATGTCGGTAAGATAAAACAACAACCACACTAACCACAGACAACAACAACATTATAACCTAAAAGTAAGGCGTTTTGTTATATGAAATGTCTGTATATTCAGTAATTTTAAGAGTAATATTTGTGTATATTGAGATCTAAAAGTATATTTAAGAACTGTAAGGTGAAATGAATAACACTATTGACGATTTCTTCAATGAGATTAGTGATCTCGAGCAGTCCAAGCAATCAAAGCAGAACCAGTCAGGTAAATATGTTCATTCAAATTCAAATATTAAAATTATTACTACATCTGTGTCTGTCTAAGTACAGTTTGGCAAGAGTGTTATGATGAACTTACGGGTTATTCATACTACTGGAATACCAAGACTGATGAGGTAACATGGACTACCCCTGCAGATTTTAAATCAGTAAAAGATCAGAAGAAAGGGAAAATGTCTCCTAGGAAAAAGGAGTTGTATGTTCCTCCTAGAGCGGCACCAGTACTACCAAGCACAAGCGCAAAAGTGTCTCAGACGTCCATTAAAATATACTCCATTGGTGATAATTCGAAGAAGAAATTTCCTCCCGTTCAGAGTAACAAGGCAAAAACAGTAGAAAATAGGAAATCAGAGAAGAAACCTTTTAGAAGAGATAGTGATTCTGAAGACGAGTAAGTTTAGTGAGATATTCAAGGGAGACATTACCGATTTTGTTTTTTCATATTTTGTTTTTAGAAAAATTGAACTGATCTCGTCTTATGGAGGCGATACGGAATCCGAAAGTGAAGAATCTGATCTTCCCATTCAAAATGTAAGTCTTTATAAAGTTTTATACCCATTTTTTTATGTCAAATATTGCTTTAATGAAATAAAAATGTTTGTGATGATACAAAACTCAGAAGTTACAAGTCTTGTGTAACTCATGATTCTAAAGTTTTCAATCTGACTTCAATTTTAGTTTGCTTGTGATGATTTTCTGCTAGAGTTCTTCTTGTTTGTAAAGAATTCGCAGTTTCTGAAGCAATCTTTTATTTAAAATAAAGAAAAAAACAGTAAGCTATTGTTATTTGTGTATTTGTGATACAGGATGTTAGTGAAAAAACAAAAGGGAATGATAGCAATCTCTCAGATGACGATGATGTAGATATATTAACAAAGATACAGAAAAGGGCAAAAGAATTAAAAGAAATGGGGGGAGATTTGCCGCCAGAGTTGGCGAATGTCGTAGATGCCCCAAAAAATAACGGAAAACCTTCCCCAGAAAGGGAAAAAAAATCCGCAAGTTCCTTTTCTTTAGTTGCTGGATACAGCGACAGTGAGGAGGAACAGGAAAGCGAAGAGGTCAAGTCTATATTTCCTATTCCTCCCGAACCACCGAAAGTAGCACATAGCACACTATTTCCAATCACAAAACCGATAGATGTGAAAGACTTCTTGCAACCACCCGAAAGCAAAGTTGAAACTCCCAACAATGATTTCGATTCAAAGGCGTTTCAGAGAAAAAGGCGCATTGGTGTCGCTTTGGTAAACACCGGCAAGAAAAAAGAAGAGAATTTGGATGAATTAGAGACCGAAGCAAGAGGTTTGGGGTTTAAGAGCGAAGATGCCACAACACCAAACACTAAAGACAATATTTATGCGGGATTCAGGAAAGGTGGTGTTATGTTCGTGAAGTCAGACGTATTAAATCCATCTTTACCAAAAACTGATGACTCAGGAAACGTGGAGACCAAAACAGAGGAAGTATCTAATGTTAAACAGGCTGACTTGGAGGAGGTTTATTCCACGTTGATGGAAAAATTGGGGTTTTTGAGTGAGGGAAGGCCTCTTGTTTCTCCTGTGCAAATAATGAGTATACAAGCTGAGGTAAATATTTGTGTTAATAAGAAAAATAATTCTATCTGCCAAGGCAGTGATGGGACAGAAGATATGTTGGAATTTTTAAATCTTATAATTTGAGTTTATCTTATCTGAATTTAACAAACTATGACTGATTTTAAATAGCTATTTAATATGATTTATTTTATTGGAAACACCTCAAAAGTTAGTTTGTATGCCCACAATAGGCGTTTTCCTAAATAATGTTGGTCTGACTTCTCAAAAAAAAAATAAAAATAAAAATAAACAGCCTTATAAATTTTTTGCAACGTTTGATATTATTAATGATTAATTAAAAAAAATAAATATAAAAACAGTAGTCCACTTCTTTTTCTGTTTTAAATTTATTGTAAAAATTGTGGAAGAGTGTCAGGTGTTGGTATTTAGAAATAAATAAGTAGGTATGATGCATTTTTTTAGTAAGAATAAAATGACAAAATTCTTTATTAGAACTTTTAAAATTAAAAAAAAATTGGGTGAATTTTTTAGCATTCTTTAATCATTTGGAGCAAGTTTTTACGTTCCTTTTTTATTTGGATATTCTGCCGTCACACAGTGCAAAAACACTCAAAATTCCGTGCGAGGTAGAAAAAGTTGTTCAAATTTGGATATATATTTTTTTAAATACTCATGATTATGTCCACTTTCTTATATCACTGCGACAATTGCGATATTTTAAGATCTCAACTGGCGATATCTTAAATACTCTTATAAACTACAATCAGAAATGTTTCCCATGCTTGATACCACGTAATATGAACAATATTTAGCGAATATGAAACATTTAAGGTATAAATTTAAAAACCATTTAATTGTAAACCCTTTAACCACAAATTCTTGAACTCATGAGCCTAAAAACCTAACTTAATAAATCTAAATTCATTAAACTAAACTCACAAAACCCAGACCCATAAAATTTAAATCAATAAAATCTAAACCCGCAAAAACTAAACCAACAGGTTTATCGTTTCTAGAATTTGTGGTTGAAGGGTTTACAATTAACTGGTTTTAAAATTTATACTTTACATTTCTTATATTCGCTAAATATTGTTCATAATTTGTGGTATCGTTTATGAGAAACATTTCTAACTGTAGTTTATAAGAGTATTTAAGATATCGCAAGTTAAGATCTTAAAATATAGCAATTGTTGCAGTGACATAAAAAAGCCGTCATAATTACGAGTATTTAAAAAAAATATATATCCCAATTTGGACAACTTTTACTACCTCGCACAAAATTTTGATTTCTGTGTGACCGCAGAATATCCAAATAAAAAAGGAATGAAATAACTTGCTCTAAATGATTCAAAAATGCTAAAATGCTAAAAAATTCACTTGATTTTTTTTTTATATTAAAACCAAGTTGAAATCTTAAAATATCGCAATTGTCACAATGTGACATAAGAAAACGGACATAATTACGAGTATTTCAAAAAAAATATTACAATTTGGACAACTTTTATTACTTGTACGGAGTTTTGAGCGTCAGTGAAAAAAAAATGTAAAAATTAATCAAATAAACTCTTGTGTTGAAGGAATCTCCCTCAAAAATGGACCAAAAAAATATGGATCACTATGTCGCACACTTCACTTAACATTTCAAAAATCTTTTCATTTTCAAAATTATGACATTTTTTTAAATAGGTTTCAACATTTAAATTTTGTTTGCTTATCTGCCTTCCCCTGCCTTCATATGATATATTCTTACTTGCTTAATCTTTAAATATTTAACGGAAAAAAATGGCACCGGTAGTTTGGAAAATGAAACTAGATTGAGTTTCAAAATGTTAAACAAATGAAGAGCCGTACTAGTTTTTTTCCATTGAGATTTTTGGTTAAGCAAAAATAATTTTATTCACAGGGGACAAAATAATCACAAAAAGTAATTTTCTGAATGAACAGTAAATGTTAAAATTACAAAATTCACCCGACTTTCTTTTTTCATTTTAAAACTTTTCCTCAAAGAATTTTATTTTTAGTATTCGTAAATACTGTATACAGGGTGAGTCATTAATAATAGTACACAGCTTAATGGCAGATTGTTAAAGTCAAAATATAGCGATTGAGCCAAACATGCCTTAATCAATTATTGCTCATTTTCATTCTACAGGGTGTTAAAAGTTGAAAAAATATTTTCTTTTGAAAACGGTTTATCGATTTGTAACTAGTACACATTTTTAATTTAGAACTGAACGTAGTTCAATAATTTGTAGTTAAAAAATTCAAAATTGTAAAATACAAAAAGTTATACAGATTTTTACATTGATAGGACAGTATAACTAGCGCCCTCTAGACGTGATCCCAACACTGTTTCCATGTTCGTATTTGCCTCCTCAAAAAACGTAAAACTACAAACTTTCAAAACAATCGGTCCATACATACTTAAAATATAGATTAAAAAAATTTTTTTTTTCAACTTTAACACCCTGTAGAACGAAAAGGAGCAATAATTGATTAAGGCATGTTTGGCTCAATCACTATATTTTGATGTTATAACAATAACATAACATATAACAATATGCCATTAAGCTGTACCATTATTATTAATGACTCGTCCTGTATATGACAGACTTGTACTATTTTTGGAGTCCTCGTTTTCATATTGATTTTTCTTAAGTTTGTTTAAAAGGACAAACAAACTGAAAAAAAGTATTGTGTTGCAGTAAATATTTTTGAGAAATTAGGTTTGTCACATTATATGAAAAATCACCAGTATTGTTAAGAATAATCGAATTACTGCCTTTTGAAATGAGCCACAGTTTATTGAATTTGGATAAGGCAAACTCAAGTTGCATTTAAAAAATTTCAGCGTATCCTCCATTTTGCTCTTGGCAAAAAAAATTTTGTTTAAGTAAATTTTGCAGAGGTATTTGTAAATTTGGATATTTTTTTATAACCAAGCAAATATATCCCCTAGCGAAGAAGTCAGAAACTTAAAAATATTTAATAGTAACATTTTTTGCCCATATTTATCAATAAATTTTTTTACCTAAAAATCGCAGCACAAATGGTGTCCAAGATATAACTGCTACGAAACCTTAACTAATCATGCTGAATAATGTCGTTTCCTTTCAAGACACTATTCACTGCTATGAAAGAGAACGGACTAAAGCCGTCTTATCTGCAGAGATGGTTGAATAACACCCACGCGGACTTGAACAAATTAGAGAAAGATGCGGCGCCGGAAGGGTGGCTTTTGCAATGGGATAGGTATGGACTGAATTGTTTACTAAATTTTTGTCCCCTCGCCTTCCTTTCCTTCCCTTTGACCATTTTTTTTTTTTTGTAAAAGCGTTTTAAGTTAAATTTGTCAAGAATCGTTGGAGATGCCCCCACAGCAATATTTCCAGGTAAGATGATAGTTGTTATCTTATCTATTTGAAACTGAGTACAATTTTGCAAAAAACTAGTTTAGCTTAGACAAAATCAAGAATAATAAGAAAGTTTATAGTGTTGATGGTCTGTTACTTGAATTTGATTTATAGGGGGTGTAACTTCGATCGGGGGTCGTTATGGATGCTATCTTTGAACTTTAGGAACACATATAAGTTTATTTTCTCAAATTCTGCCATGAAAACTGATTTTTTTTTAAATTTTTTCCATAAATTTCATATCTGGCCACTGGACACAAGTCAATGTCAGAGGTCATTCAAACTGAAATTCACAAACTAAACACTATGCTTTCAAATAGTAACTAATAACTTGGTAAAAATTTGAAATGATTTTACAAAATTTTTAAAACCTATATAAGAATAGTATTTTTATTTGTTTTTTAATATAAATTTTTTATAAAAATAGCAAATAACGAGCGTTCAAATAAAAACGTGGTCGAAGTTGGCTCTGATACATTGGACGTAGGGCGTAGCTTATAGCGACCAACTTAACCTCATTTCTCAACGAGCTGTATAGCAGCTGTCAGTTTCAATAACAAAGCGGCGATACAGCGCTTTGACAGATGACGTTTAAGATCATTTGCTATACGCTACGCCCTACGTCCAAATTTTCAGAACCAACTTGATCACGTTTTTATTTGAACGCTCGTTATATATTTTAAAATATAAATTAGTTTTACAGTCAGTAACGTATCCTAAACATGCTAAAATAATAATTTTTTAAAGAACACAATCTTTTTTCATGTTTAGTGCTTTGTTGGCACTGAAACAAAATATATAAATTTTTTAAAATAATCTCACTAAATCAACCAAGAGCAAACTGTTTCGACAAAATTATTTTTTCTCTGCCACTGTTAGTTTCATACAGTTATTTTAAAAAGGTAACAAGCAACACTGATGCGGCAGTGGCGGTACAAAGGCGAGTTTAAGTGGTGTTTGAAAAATGAATTGAAATGAACTCAAATGAAATGAATGAATAAATGAAATGAACTCGAAATGTTTCAGTGTAGTATTCTGGGGAACACATATTTTGCCCCTAAAAAAACTGACCCTCTACTTAAAGTTACATCCTTTATACGGGGTGTTTTTTAAGTTGTACTTTTCCTTTTAATACAACAAGAATTCAAAATAATAAAATAAAAATTTTTCGAAAAGCCAGTTACTTATGTACTAAGTCAGTAAGGTGATTCTTTGTAATAATTATGTTCTCTGTTTGACTTTCGTGTAGCTATTATCACATGACAGGAATCGTGTGGTTTTTTTGTCTTTGAATTCTGGTAATAATCGTATAAAGGCTATACCTTTGACCCTTAGAAACAGTATCATAATTTTCACCAAATTACCATTAACTATTTGTTTTACCGCCCTATTGTCATATTACCTGAGGAGTGCAGCGATGTTATGTGGTTTCCATAAACTATAATAGGTCATGTCCAGAGGTCGTTGATGCTGACATCCACAAACTAAACATGGTGCTTTAAAAAGTAGTAACAAATACTTTTTATTTAAAATACAGTGAAAATTGGTTATAACGACATTGCTTTATACGACATATTGGATATAACGACGGAATTTGGAAGTCCCGATTAAATCCTACAGAAATAACATATTAAAAATATCGTTGATTATAACAACCAATAGTGATATACGGCCTTAAAACCAATGCACCGCTCTTACGCCTAAATAAGTGTGAAATATTTTAGGGGTTGGTTGGCGAAGTTATTTTGTGAAAAATGGATTATGTCAATATCATTAAAACTCTTTGAAATAATTAATATAAATAAATAAAAAATTAAAATTTAAACACTGTATCTCGGACACTAAATAAAACAGGCCCTAAAATGGAACCCTGTGGAACACCAGAAGAAATTTGCCTAGGTTTAGATAATTTGTCCCATAACCTTACAACCTGTGTGCGATCCTGCAAGTATGATTGAATGAGTGCATTGGCTTCGTTTTGAAACCCACATGATTCAAGAATAGATAATAGTATCAAAGGCTTTAATAAAATCTAGTAATAGCATCGTAGTATTTTTTCTTTCATCCACAGCTTGAATAATGTCGTCAGTGATATGCATTAGTGCTGTAGCACAGCTGTATCCTGGTCGAAATCCAGACTGAATCGATGGAAGAATGTAATTAATTTCTAAGAAATTGTGAATTTGATTCTCCATTACTTTTTCAGCAACTTTAGATAGACAGGGTAAAATGCTATTCGGCCTTAAATCCGATATTTGTTTTGGATCATTAATTTTAGGTATCCTCGATAATTTTTAAGATGCCAGCGCACCAAGCGGCGAAAGCAATAAGCTCCGAGACAAGGTAATTTTGACATTGCCGTTTGTGTTTACACATTCATTTGAATAACATTTGTCTTATTTGCCATTATTATTAGTAATTTTGTTATCAAATTGCGGTTATTTGACTTTTGTTTTATTTTATAGGTTTTAAGTATTTCATAAATAAATTTTAAGGCAAGTATTTATGTCTACTTTATTTGTCTCTAGCATTACAATTTAATGTACATTTTATTAGGTTATAACTATGAACTTATCCGTTGTGGAATACATTTCCTATTTACATATATGNTATTATTTTAAAATATAAATTAGTTTTACAGTCAGTAACGTATCCTAAACATGCTAAAATAATAATTTTTTAAAGAACACAATCTTTTTTCATGTTTAGTGCTTTGTTGGCACTGAAACAAAATATATAAATTTTTTAAAATAATCTCACTAAATCAACCAAGAGCAAACTGTTTCGACAAAATTATTTTTTCTCTGCCACTGTTAGTTTCATACAGTTATTTTAAAAAGGTAACAAGCAACACTGATGCGGCAGTGGCGGTACAAAGGCGAGTTTAAGTGGTGTTTGAAAAATGAATTGAAATGAACTCAAATGAAATGAATGAATAAATGAAATGAACTCGAAATGTTTCAGTGTAGTATTCTGGGGAACACATATTTTGCCCCTAAAAAAACTGACCCTCTACTTAAAGTTACATCCTTTATACGGGGTGTTTTTTAAGTTGTACTTTTCCTTTTAATACAACAAGAATTCAAAATAATAAAATAAAAATTTTTCAAAGTGCCAGTTACTTATGTACTAAGTCAGTAAGGTGATTCTTTGTAATAATTATGTTCTCCGTTTGACTTTCGTGTAGCTATTATCACACGACAGCAATCGTGTTGTTTTTTGTCTTTGAATTCGGGTAATAATCGTATACAGACTATACCTTTGACCTTTATAAACAGTATCATAATTTTATTTTCTCAAATTCTGTTGTGAATATTGATATTTTTCAACCATAATAATTACGAATAAAAATTACTAGAGTATATCCTAAAAACTATTTTCATACCCTGCTACTGGACAGACTAGTACCAATCCGGGCATTCTCTTTTCGCCAAATTACCATTGACTATTTGTTTTACTGCCTTGTTGTCATATTACCTCAGGAGTGGAGCGATGTTATATGGTTTCCATAAACTATTATAGGCCATATCCAGAGGTCGTTGATGCTGACATCCACAAACTAAACACGGTGCTTTACAAAGTAGTAACAAATACTTTTTATTTAAAATACAGTGAAAATTTGTTATAACGACATTGATTATATGACTTGGATATAACGACGGAATTTGGAAGTCCCAATTAAATCTTAGAGAAATAACATATTAAAAATATCGTTGATTATAACAACCAATAGTGATATACAGCCTTAAAACCAATGCACCGCTCTTACGCCCTCCCCGCCAGCATCCACGCTTTTGACACCAGTTAGTACGTTTGGGACAAATTACGACTTATCTATGCATACAGTTATATTACATACAAGGTGTTTGTAAATAAGTGTGAAATATTTTAGGGGGTGGCTGCCGAAGTTATTTTGTGAAAAATGGTTTATGTCAATATCATTAACTCTTTGAAATAATTAATATAAATAAATAAAAAATTAAAATTTAAACACTGTATCTCGGAAACGAAGCATATTTCGACCTACGTTTATATGAGCTTTTTTTTTTCACAAAATAACTTCGGCAACCACCCCCTAAAATATTTCACATTTATTTACAAACACCCTGTATATTTAGTAATTATTACACTTTCTATCACGATCTTGAAGAGAAAAGTGTTTAATAAGGAAGAAAAATCACATGTAATATAGAGACTAAAAAAAGGAGAAACTAATGCAAGCAAGAAAAAGAATGTGAAGAAGAATAAAATAAAGTTTCTATTTGAAAACAATTAATTGAAAATGAAGCGTGCGAGATCTTTTGAATACAAAGCAATACATGTACATACTTAAAGACTTGTATTGTAAATTTTTAAATTTTTCTATAAAAGTTTTAATTAAAATATATGTAACTGCTTATTATGTCTATGTTATAACAACCGTAAACAAGCGGTTCCTTGAAGATCATTATAACTGATTTTCACTGTATTCAGTAAACGTGAATTTTTCTATCCCTGCTTGAAAATTAGATTTCTACGTTGAATTCTATCAAAGAAAAAGTCCAACTTGGAAAACACCCATTTCCTAAGTAACTAATATTTCTAAATCGAAGGCATGATATATTGTACTCAGTTCGGCAGGATGTAGTATAGGTACTTCATTTATATGCGATATATTCATTAAGCAGTTATAAGTTCAAACATAAAGTATATCACTTTTTTTCTAAAAAAAAGTGTGAAACCAAGTACAGTTTTAATGTATCGGATGAAGGTTTGTAAAAAGATTTCTACCGTTTACTGAATTTAAATAAATATGTAATTCGTCTATATTGGATATCTAACAATTTCTCTATGTTTAGGACGGTTGGAGTCGGAAAATTCGTGCGGTGCTTCGAAGATTCTACCTGCAGAACCACATGGAATCGACTGGAAAACGAAATGTTTAATTTATTAAATTTTATGTTTAATCTTTGATATCTGACAATTATCTAAAAAAAACTTTTCTAAACAGGTAGAGTATAAATAATTATCGAGTATAACTGAATATTTTTTTAATAAAAGAATTCAGTTGCTCGCAGAAGGTGTCATAAAATAATTTTACGGTGATTGAACTAAACACGAAGAAAATGGAGATCGGCTATAGCTACAGATTTTGGGATGAAAATTTCATAATCGTTAATTTTAAAGGTTAATATTATTTATCGAGTGGGCTATTTTTTTTCCTAAGAATGTCGTATTGGTTTTCGAGCAATTTTTTATTTATTCATCTGTCAGGTGTACGCACTACAAACCATTAAGTACATGTTATTTTTTTTTTGTATGATTTCAAAGATAAAATAAATTTCGGTGGAACAGAAGTAAATATTTTTCTCATACGACGCACGGGTGTTTTCGACGTACTCTATCTTGGGCCTCTTCCCTGATTTTAGATCGCATAAGAGGTATTACTACCAAAACCAGACGACGGGGGAGAGCCAGTGGGAATATCCTCAGCCTGACATCTCCAGGTGTGACGAGGCCATGGACATTTCCACCACTCCGCCACCCGCCGAACCGACCATACACCTGTCACCTCCCCTACCTCCCATCATCAGGAGTCCCACCCCACCCCCTCCCCCTATTATAAGCCGGAAGGACGAGGAGGACGTCAAGACCAAAGTGCCAGGTAAGGAGTTGTACCAAAATTCCAAAGTAACGGTAAGTCTCGTAAATAAATCAAACCAATTTTTTTTATGTATTGTTTTATTGTTACAAGCTTGATTTGTTTATGGTGAAAAAAAAGAGTGATGAGCAAAACTGCATGGTTTTTTAATTATCTTTGTCTCAGTTTTCAGCTTAGGCGTTTCCTTTAGTGTCATATCCATGAACGTGGGAAAAACATGTTATTATTTTCACGTCTTAGTTCAGTGTGTTTCTTAAAAACGGAATAATGTGCGAGTTTTAGTGGCTAATCTGTTAATAACCGGTATAATATGTACATAATCAATACTTGTCAAAGCATTTGAGCACGAAACGAGGATATGTCAGTGAGTGATGCCGTAGAAATGAACAGTTCATTAAAAAAAGTGTTAAAGAGTGGTGAAAGTGTTGAAAAGCAAAAAAGAAAAACACAATGCAGAAAAAAATAGGAATATGTACAAATTTTACTTTGAAAACGAACTTAACCAACATTAAAAAAAACTGTAATCACAGAAGACATACTAAGCGTGAACTAAACTTTCATTACTTAAAACGAAACTAAAAAGTACGCTAATAGAGACAAAAAAAAAACGGAATTGCACTATGGCGAAGAGACCAAATTTATACTGGGTGTCCCATTTTAATTGATACACATAGATGTTTCGTCAGAGAAACCCCCAATCTAAAAAGTTGTTCAGTTCACTGGGGGAAACCAGCTGCTTACCTAGGATTTGACCTTGACCTCACCTTGAAGATCGTTTGAAGGACAACTTCGGAATTTTAAATGGGACTCCCTATTTTTAACTTGGAAATAGATTCAGCAGAAAATTTTACATCTGGACGTGATCATAACTTTGACCTTGAGTCAAGGTCAAAACAAGTTTAAATGATTCGTCACCCTTAAAGTAGCCTCGGAATAAGATGTCGATGGGATTTCCATCAATGTGCTCAATCAATACCTTCGGTTCGTCCTTGACCTCCACTTTGTCAAGGTCATTTGAAGGTCGGCTATAAAAATCGACCTTCACCTCACCAAATATTTTCAAGTATCTAGATGCTTTATTTGAAGCTGTGCAACATTTTGAAAATTCGAAAATATTTTTCAAAATTTAAAAACAAATTATTTTGCGAAAACTATCTAACCGATTTTAATGACATTTGGTGTGCTGTTTTATTACATTCTAAAGTTTTTTTTTAGCAAAATTAGAATGCCCTCGGAGCAATTAAAATGTTTTAAAAAAATTATCCAAAAAACTTGATTATGTTGCCTTTTTTTCATCAATTATTGCTATTTTTTTTTACAGTATATTGTGCAAAATTCAATTCTAAATGCATAGGTTCCAAGATATAAGTATAAAACACAAATAAAATGGGTATTTTTTAAAAAATTTTAAACATATGTATTTGTAATTTTGAAAATGTTCCGAACCTCGCCCAGATCTAGGGATCTACACTTTTATTATGCGAGTTGTACTGAAGGTAATTCAGAAAAAATTTGCGTGCCCCCTCTCACATCCACCTCAAAACAGATCCGCCCTGGTCTATAGGGCCATCTAAAGTCATTAGTTTATACTAATCCAATGGAAAATGTGGAAAATTTAAGAAATCGGATAATTGCTAGGTGTAACCCATCCAAGTTCCAGCCTGCGTCCGCGATGCTTACCTCGGCCGATCGAAATCCATGGGCCAAGACACCCGGCTAGGCGGTCCCCGCAGTATATTGTATATTAAATATTAAGAGCTATTATTTTATGTTTATAGGCTCTTACTTTAGAAATTCAATAGTTTTTGTGGTTACTGAGTGATTTTAGATAAAATATTGTAGGTAACTTTGTATAAAAAGAGATTTTCAAAGTGTGTATGTTAAACACGGCCTTTGGTCCTGCTCCACCTGTTACGTGTCTTGTGCCAAAAACACTTTGCTATACTAAATATTTCAATGAGTTTATTTGTTTTTTTTCCTGTTTGCAATCAGGTGTTGTAATCTTTAGCATACTAACTTTTTAATTTCAGACGTTCCTTTGCCTCCCGAACCAGTAGCTCCCGCCAAATTCTTAAACGACGGTGAGCCGTTACCACCCGGAGTTGATTTACCGGAAATCATTGCTTATAATAAACCAAAGGTTTGTAAATTTATCAACTTAGGGATCAGTTTAATTTATTTCTTTTTGTGATGCAGGAAAAAGAGGCAAAGACAGCCGATCCTCTGTTTTCCGCTTTGGATTCCTTTTACTCCGATATCGCCTCTATGGAGAATCCAAATTCGTCTTCCCCTCCACCTCCCCCACCCCCCGCAGAGGACAGCAAAGCACTATCGGATCCTTCAGTAGAACCACCCAAGAAGAAGAAGAAGACAAAGGTTAGTCTTTTGTTCATATTTCCCATAGTGTAATTAATTTAAAATACGAGTTATTCTGCGTCAACAGGTGAAACTGGCTCCCGGTCTGGCCATGAAGAAGAAAGGAGTTTCCCAACTGGTAGAAAAATGGAAAAATGTACAGCAACATTATAATGATTAAGTAATTGATGTAAATAGTATTATATATTTTGTCTTTTTAATAAATTATTTTAAAATTAATTTTTTTATCGTAAAATTTATATTTTCTTGGAATACTTATTTGGCAGTAGAATGAAATTCACTCGGGACTTCGAATACGACACTAATTAAATTTAAAAAGTAACTCAAAAATTATTCATTTCTAAAAGTTACTGGCGTAAAAATTCTGGGGTTCTCAATGATTAAATTTAATCTTTTTAAACCCTTGATTTATTGAAGTTTTCATATACAGGGTGTTTGTAAATAAGTGCGAAATATTTTAGGGTGGCTGCTGAAAATATTTTGTGAAAAAAATTCATATAAACGTGGGTCGAAATATGTTTCGTTTCGAGCTACAGTGTTTGAATTTTAATTTTTATTTATTTTTATTAATTATTTCAAATAGTTTTAGAGTTATATTGACTCGAAATTTGATGGTTGTATTTTATTTAGAAGTATTGACAGCAACCTACTAGATAATGTATCAATAGAAATTAAAATACACAAAACTTGTAATAAAATATGGTTTATTTTTTTCCTCAAAAACGGGGCATCCTACGAAGAAAATTCAAGAGACCAATTTCATTCAGAATTGATGGCGGATTTCTAAAACAATATCAAAACGGGAAATAGTGGCGTACCAATTTTTTTTTATTTAAAAAGGTTGTTATTCTCGCACGAACGCCACTGGTGCAAGTGGAAATATTCGGATAACCCCAAAAAATGAACATTTATCTCTCCAAAGCGTTTTTTAAATTTCGGGTCAATATCAAAACTGAAATAATAAAAATAAATAAAAAATTAAAATTTAAACACTATCTCGGAAACGAAGCATATTTGGACCTACGTTTATATGAACTTTTTTTCACAAAAAACTTCGGCAACCACCCCCTAAAATATTTCGCACTTATTTGCAAATGGCCTGTAGACACATAGACTTAAAAAACGTCCTGTATACAGGGTGTTCCTAAATATCATGTACATAAGGGAGGGGGTCATTATTTGGCTTATTTCATGACTAAAAGTTCATATAAACATAGGTCCGCAAACGCTTAGTTACCGATCTACAGGGTGTTGAAATTTTAAAATTTTAGTTTTTTCTCTATAGCTCCCACAGTTTTTGAGATATTTAGCTCAAATTTAGAATATAGTTTACGATGTAGGGCTTACATCATTGGACATAGTATTCTAGTGATATTTTTTCGGGCTTCATGCTCCCTTTTCTTCCCCTGAACTTTTGTGCGGTGCGCCGCTGGTAGATTCTAAAATCAAAATTAAATTTTATGTTTTGTTGAGAAACTTTTTTGTCTCATCATTTTTTCGTATCTGCGACCGTTATCGAGAAAAAAAAAATAAAAAACGATATTGTGTAATTCGTTAGATGAAATTTAAATTCTTAAAATGGTCCAGTAGGCTCTGGCTTTATTTAGATAACCTCTTGTTTATTATCCAAATTTGAGCTAAATATCTCAAAAACTGTGGGAGCTATAGAGAAAAAACTAAAAAAATCTTAAAACTTCAACGCCCTGTAGATCGGTAACGAAGCGTTTGCAGACCTATGTTTATATGAATTTTTAGTCGTGAAATAAGCCAAAGAAAAAATAAAGCATTTTCTACACAAATTGAAATGCATTTTTTCAATTGAGTTTACCCCAAATATCCGCCTACATTCCTAAATAAAACAAGATGAATATTTACTTTGTTTTCATATACAGGGTGTTTCATAACTCTACCAACACAGAGTTTTGTAATTAAGTTTCATGAGATTATTTTTACGGATGAGGCCTGTTTCACTTGAGGCATCACAAATTTGCATAATTTCCATGAATATTCGGATAAAAATCCACACGCAATAATTCCTCGCAATTTTCGAAACAAATTTAAAATCTACATGTGGGCTGGTATTGTCGGACATTATTTGGTTAGGCCATTCTACAAAACCGGTTGAATGGCAAAAATTATTTTTTTTTTACAAACTATTCTTCCTGGCCTACTCGAGGATTTACCTTTGCGATTAAGACGTCAAATGTGGTTTATGCATGATAGTGCTCCACCGCATTGTAGTGCTAATATATGAGACTTCTTGAACCAGTAGTTCCCGAATAGATGGATAGGACGAGGAAACAATTGCCCAGAAAATTGGCCACCAAGCTCACCAGATCTGAATAAATGTGATTTCTTTCTCTGCGGCTTTAAAAGAATTCGTTTATTTTACACGTATTTGAAGCAGATTTATGGAATCGTATAAATAATAAATGCAATGCTATAAATTGATCCAGTTATTGCACAGAGTAGATTTTAATTTTCGGCGGAGGGTAAATTTATGTATTAGAGAAAATGGTGGCCATTTTCAAGTTATTGTAGTACTATTTAACGATATCCGTAGTTCATGTGGTTAAAGTTGAATTAAAATAAAATAAAGAATCTAATTTAATTAAATTGTTCTTTCTTGATACTCTTTTGTAAATGTCACAAATGACACATGAAATCATAGCCTACTAGTCATAAAACTGCATACGTATTTTACTTTTTGTCCAAATCAAATGGTAATAATGCTGTTTCACAAAATTTCGATTTTCTCAAAAGCAGTTTTTCCAAAAATTTTAGTAAAAACATTTTTAAAATTAAACATCCCAGGAAAAAATGTTAAACAAATCGCCATATTTTAAGATCCTACATGTGCTCACTCTGTGTCGGCAGTTATGAAACACCCTGTATATTATTTGTGTAGAAATGATCTACAAAACACATCTCTTTAATTTACTTAAAAGTTGAATACAAAGTTTTCAGACAACTTTTATATGTTAGGATTCTAGGGTTTGCAAGTATAGCAACAAGACCTTTTAAACATTTTTATTGAATTTATAAACAAAATACAATCTAACTTAAGCAACCAGAGCAGAGGCTGTGCTAGACTCGTATTTCCAGTTAGGTGCAAGTACGCTCTTAGTTTTGTAGTACCTGGCTAGACGGTGAATACGAGACTCTACCAAAATCAAACGGAATTTAGAGTCCTTGTCTTTCCTGTTACGTTCTAAATGTTTGCGGATAGCTACTGCCTTCTTGATAAGGTAGTACAAATCTTCGGGTAGATCAGGTGCCAAACCCATTGCTTTCATAATACGTAAGATTTTGTTGCCACTGACAAACCTTACTTGTGCTACTCCATAGGAATCTCTTAGAATTACACCTAGAATATATAAATACTCAAATTTGGCTTCATTGATACAGAATGAGGGGTAAACATACCGATCTGTGATGGAGTTAAACCTTTCTTGCCCAATTTGTAAATATGATCTTTCACCTCTTCAGGGGTTACTTTTAGCCATGTAGGAACGCTACGTCTATAAGGCAAAGCCGATTGGGCAATGCCTTTTCTAAAACATAAAAATTTTGTCAATTTTAAAACTATAGAAGCCTGCCACGAGGTAACATAACCTCAAAAAAGTACATGTTTTCCACAACACTAATTTTACAGGAAAATGTATGTAAAGTCACTTCACTTTACTTAAATTTTATTTTGTGTGCATTTTAAAGGGTTTACTTACCCAGGAGCGTGCATACGACCCATTTTTGAGTTATTTTCGTGTCAAACGGACAACAGAAAACTCCAGCTACGTCGAAAAGAACGGATTGCTACGGATGCTACGAAATGTCCTCGAAGACCGACATTTTATTCTACGATTTTCAAAACCGCATGCGCCAAGAGCTACGAGGACCACTCCACTACGTACGTAGAAGAGGATGTCAAAAATGGCTTCTTCGTGAATATAAAAATTTGTCATTTCTTTTACCATTTACAAGAAGTGTTTGTAATTTTGAAATAAATTTATTGTCTCTATGTGCTCCGCATTCTTTTACCGTAGTACGCGAAACTAGATCTCGAAATTAAAAGCTTATTATTGGTAACGGCGGTAATTAATTACCTTAAGGCTTGTAGCAAAACTGAAAAATGAGTAGTGATGATAGCGATGCCGAACCCCATCATAAAAGAAAAAGAAAAGTTCATCGGTTGGAAGACAGTCCGGAGAGTACTTCAAGCAGTGGTAGTCCTGTCATAGGATCATCATCGTCGAGACGAAGACGCGGTTTTCACGACAAAAATCCCATCAGAGATTCCTCGGACTCTGAATCGGACAGTGGCAGTTCAATTCACAGACACAACAAAAGAAAAAAAGTCAGGGTATGATTAAGAGAATAATTTATTTTCCAACAGTAGGCAAAAAATAGATGCAATAAGCAATGTCTTAAGATTTGTATTCGTTAAGCTGGGTAACAATGTTCGAATTCATTTTCATGACTTCACTTGTTTTTATTTTTTGAGTACAAATAGACATTCATTGTAAGTCTAGGTCTCTAGGACACCAACTTTTAGGCCCGTAAAAGATTGTCAGTGAATATTATTTATGTATAGTTATTTATACATTTACAAAGTAAATTGTCCAACAAATATATCTAAAAATTCACGAGTAAATTGGTAATGGCAACTTTTATCTATGGTTATAATTTTAGTAAACGTGTTCTGAACTCAATCATTAATCTGAATGTTTCCAAAAAGGTAAGAACTCAAAAAAAAAAACGAATTTTAACAACGATAGGTATAATTCTAAAATTTGGAAAATTTTAAACATTTGGCCTTTCAAAACCGTTTCGCAACTCTGAATAAATTAAATGTTTGAGACTAACTAAGTATAAAGTAATATCTACATTTCCACATTCTATTTTCGAAGCAGAATGTACTTGTTTTAAAACTGTCAGTTTAGATTTTGAAATTCACATTTTTTTTAAATAAATACTTGAAAAATGTGTTGGCAAATGCTATATTAATGTTCAGTAAGCTCTGATTTTTTTTAATATAAAACAAAATATTTGTCATGAAAATATTTCTATATTGAAAGATTTCTGAAACAATATTTATGTTTAAAATAAATCAAAAATTTAATTTTTAAGATCTTCAACTGAATTCATACAAAGCTTTTCAGTTAGGTATGAGTAATTTTAGTAAAACATTTGTTGAACAAATATTCAATAAAATGTCGATCAAGGTTTTCAATCTCCATTACAAATTTAACACAAAGATTATTCAGAAAATGAATGAAAACAGGTAAATATGTCATGATGGGTACGGAGGTCTCCAACACCTTAATGTATATTATCTACATTAATTGGTAACAGTAAATGGTATGAATAAAATTGTATAATTTTTGGTTGGAGTTAATTTTTTTTGTTTTATGTAAAATAATAAATTCCTTACATTTATTTTTTCTATAATATATACAAAGTACGTGGTCCATACTGAGCCTTTTTATTTGTAGAGGGTGGCAAGTGATTCAGACTCTGAAAGCTCTGGTTCTACTGTCGTAAAAAGAACAAAGAAAGCAAGTCGGATAGTGAGTGATTCCGATGCCGATTCGGAGGTTTCGGATAGAGGTTTCGAGGGTAGTTCCAGTTCACAATGGGAAACAGACTTCTCTGACATAGATTTAGACATGAAAGTGAAACCAGAAGCTGCGGTTTCGTCCGCTGCCCAGGACAACAACATCGATTCAGATTCTAGCGACGGGCAGTCGGAGAAATGTCCCATATGCCTGATATCGTTCAAAGTTCAGGAAATTGGTACTCCAGAATCATGCGACCACATGTTCTGCTTAGAGTGTATTCAGGAATGGTCGAAAAATATGAACACTTGTCCAGTGGACCGCCAAGAGTACAATTTGATTCTTGTACGCAAAAACATCAGCGGTAAAGTGATAAGACAGGTGCCGATAGAAAAACCGGCTCCTCAAAACGACGTCGATATTGTGGAGGACCCTACGTTTTGTGAAATATGCGGTTCCAGTGATAACGAAGACCAGATGTTACTGTGCGATGGTTGCGATCTGGGGTTCCACTTGTACTGTCTGACACCCCCTCTGGACGAGGTACCGGGAGGTGCTTGGTACTGTAATTATTGTTCACCGGATGACGACTATACCTCTGAGGTTGAATTGTACGAGATACAGTTGATGATGGATGGCCCGAACAGAATGCAAAGGCCGCAGGGACAGCGCAGGAACCAGTCAGCTAGGTGAATTATTCTATGACTTTTATTACATTAACTGTTTTAACGATACCAGAACTATTTCCATCTCAGAATCACAGTGGTTGAATTAGAAACAAATTATGTTAACTGTTATTTCTTGAGGATTGTTGTGTTCAATTTGTATTCCTTGCCAAAGAGATGCAGTTATTTAATTAATCGATGTATTTATTTTTTGTGATTTTTCTCTGAATAATAAGTAAATTTTATTTTCTCTGTGTGCTTTTTACTTTAAGTTTTTCTTTAAAACTAGTCAAAAGACTATTTCCTTTTTCATAATCGTAGTTCAATGAAAATTTTTATAGTGAACTAGAGTGTCATATTAAAGGAATTCCAATTTATCTGCTAACAAACGGAAATGTACTTAAAATTTTATAAACGAAATTGTGGAATCTGAGAGATTCAAACTTTGGCATGCATGTTCTGTTCTGGGTGTGAGTATTAATAAATCCTACCTAAGTGACACAAAACTTTTTTTGGGAGCCCATTTGACCAATAAAACGAAACAAAAAAATTGGTACAGTTGTATAATTGCCGTAATTATGGTTTTTTTATAATCTTTCTTGTAACTCGAAGGCTCCCACCAAAAGTTTTTCAGGAATCGTGGAAAGATGAACACCGAAACTGTTTGATTGTCAGGTGAGGTAATAGCTTGTATTCCATAAATCTAATTAATTTTTACATATCAAAACAGTCCATATTTCTAATTAACAGATTAGTTCCACGTACAAGACAGACCGAGCGAGTGAGACGTCGAATAGCGGATAACCGCCAACAAAACCATCGGAACGGGAGCCGAGCGAATGGTCCTTCAACCTCTAGTCTAGAGGACTCCCAGCTTGTAAATTCAGTCACTAGCAGCACGTCAAGAGTGAAACGTTCTGTGAAACACAAGAAATCGAAGAGAAAACCTAAGAAACAGGTACGCTACACGACGGTCTATGAGATCGACGAGGCTACCGGCGAGACAGTGGCTGTTACAAAGCGACAGAAGAAGTACAAGAAGCGCAAAAAGAGATATTTGAGAACTACGAGATCACTAGTTCGATCCAAAACCGTGAAGAAGAGGTTAGCTGCGCAGTTGGGCATCTGTGCTCCCAGGACCGTGCCCCAAAATCTACCCGACGTTAAAATTCAGAGCTCATCAAACACTCTGGGCGGTCTCAGATACCAAGCTGGAATACCGCCTTTACATTTGTTCGGCCAGAACAACCAGTTGGATTATTTTTCCGGCGAAGAAGATGAAAACTTTGTGGGCGGATCGGGTGTACAGTTACTGTCTGCGAGAGCTCCAAATCGGTCCGACATCTCAGCTATGCGTAGGATGGCTAGAAGAAAGGCAGCTATAAACCTCACCAGTGCCGTTTCAAGTTCCACGGACTTACTAGACAGCATTTTGAGCAGTCAAGAGCAGTTTCACTCCAGAAACTCCGCTTTCTCTGTGGATTCCAGTGGAAGATTCATGATTGAAAAGAAGTCCCGGAACAATTACGTCGACGTAAAAGCACAACCGGTGAAGATGAGGCAGAGGCCCAATAACTATCACCAGGGTGGCAGCAATCCCAACCCGAACTACAACAGATCCAATCCAAATAACTATCATTCCCATAGCCTTTACCAGTATCATTCCACTCCTACGTCCACGATGGAGTCTACGAGCACCTCCGGCTTTAGCGGCGGCGATCTGAATGAAGTACCTCAAGATTATACTCAGAGAACACTGTGCGCCTCTAGCGAAGCGAACACCCAAGAAAGAAAAGATAAAGATGACGACAATACTGGCACAAACACGCCGAATAGCGAATCGGAGATCGACATTTACAGTGACATAGAAACTGTCAGTACCAGCAAAATCGACGAGTCCGATCTAAGAACTACGTCTCCGCCATTGATGATCCCTAACGTTCACATTCCCAATATGGGTACAGATGAGTACGACGACAACAACGATAGTGAACCCGATATGGTGATAGACGACGAGAAAATGCAGGAGGCGGACAGGTGCCACGGAGATCAGAAGGAAGAAACTGCGGTAACCTCAACCGTCGGTTTCAGCAGTGAATTTGCACCGGCCGTTGTCGAGTCCGCCCCAGAAATGCCACACTCTTCCATGGAAATACAGTCGGGTGCTATACAGTCGTCTAATCTGATGGATGGTAAGAATATCGAAGACGACGACGATTGGACAGACGGTTGTCCGAATACCAGCATTTATTCAAAGGAGGGCATGGAAGCTTCAAAGGAAAATGAAGACGTAGATTCAGACGACGGTTGTCCTAATTTTAGTATTTATTCAAAGGAAAGCAAAAGCTTGGCCCTCCACACAGATATATCTTTATCCGCGGAAGATAACGTGCAGATGGGACAGGATTACCAAGTCGGCGAAGTTAGTTCCTCTCCGAACGTAGGAATCAGTGATAATATTCAAGAAAACGAGGGTGAAAACGTGGTGTACGATTTCGAAAGAGAAGCTGTTCAAGAAAATTTTCCTCCGGAAGAAAATGCAGAGGAGAATGTTACTTACGAATTTGAGAAAGACAGTACTTTTCCGCAAGAGACCTCGGAAGGAAACGTAATATATGAATTTGAACGCTCTGTTGTTAAGGAGAGCGTTGAAGAAAATGTCACGTACGAATTTGAGAAAACCACCGACACTACGGACATACAAGATGAAGGAAACCATTCAGTTTCTAATCCTCCCAATCCGGTAGTCCGAAGCAGAGTGGGAATTGTGAAAAAACTAGTAAGCGGAGGTATCCTTGGAGGTTTGTACAGCGATTCCGAGGACGAGAGCATGGTGAAGAAAGATGGCAGTTCGTTTGCCATCTCGGACATCAATCACATGACCGAAGACATCAGCGAAGAAGAAAGAAGCTACACTCCGTGCTTGGACGAGAGAGGGAACAGGCAAGGACTGGAGGGGTTGGATACGGAACTGATTTCAGACGAAGACCGTAACGATTTCGATGAATCTCACGAACTTAAAACTGTCTCTGACGGAGACGCTTTGGAGATAAACGCCAAAGAATCTGAATTGGACTTTACTAGGCCCGAAGATTACGAAGAAGGAGAAATCGTAGATAAAAATAAAGGCGCTAAAAAATCGGAGGAAGCAGAAAAGAAAAAAGTTAAAGGCAAGACCAGTGCTGAAGAAAGTAAAGATGGAAAAAAACCTAAGAAAAAAGAAAAAGAAAAGCAGCCTGCCGACAGCGATAAAGGCGGTAATAAAGAAAATGAGGGCCAAAATAAAGAAGCCTCCTTCAAGAAATTAAGTAAGAACAGCAAAGAACGTAATTACAGGGATAAAGACGCGGACCGACCATCCGGTACCTCAAAGGCTAAAGAAGACAGGTTGCAGAACAGAAAAGATAAAAGGCGAGAAAAACGCAAAGAGCTGGAGAGGTATAATGTGAGAGCTATTATCGCGGAAAAGCCCCGCCCCTTCGTCATCAAAGATCAATTCGGAAGGGATATTAGGCGAACGCCATCCAGATCAAAGAGCAAATCGAATACTCCCCCAATTCAAGACTCTCCCCCGAAAGCTGGAACATCTCCGTCGAAAACTAGACAGAGATCGTTATCCAAACGAAGATCTAGATCTTTGTCGAGACGTAGGTCAGCATCCAGAGGACGAAACTCTGTCTCGAAGGAGAGGTCCCGCAAGAGAAGGCCTAGGTCTCGTAACAGATCAGTGTCTCGTTCAAAGTCTAGATCACCGAGAAAGAAGCGGTCAGGGTCTAAGACTAAAAAGAGGAAACGTTCCAACAGCAGATACAAACGCAGGAAATCCAGGGAAAGGTCTAAGAAAAAACCTCGAAATCGGAGCAGGAACAGGTCCATGTCCCCATCGAGAAGAAATAGAGAGTGGAACAATAGAAGGGGGTGGACTCCGCTGAGTGTGAGTCCCCCCCCTGAAGTTCGTCACGTGTCACCCTCTTGGACACCCCCGAGAATAATCGACACTTCTCATTTGTTAAATATTGAAAGTTTAACGGCTGCGATGAACGCCAATAAGAAGAAGAAAGAGAAGAAACGAAAAGGAGATAAAAGAATCAAAGAGAATACCGCCACAATTAGACAGAAGAAAAGGAGGCGGGAAAGAGAGAGAACGCCACCTCCTTCCAAAGAGGTCTTCGCTTCGGGAGATAATATTTTAGTAAGTGTTAGTTTTAATAATGAAAACGAAACGAGAGACGTGACCACACGAGAAAGGAGGAAAAAAGATATGGAAGATATGAACAGGAAGAAGAAGGAAAGGAGACGGAATAAAAACAGGAGGGACCTTTCTGGAATCAAACCCGTAGCTATTATCGATTTGGAGCGTTCGCCCTTCAAAGAGATTACCCCATCACCAAAAGACGTAATCGTCCTGACAGATAGCGATAATAACGATAACGAAGAAGTCAGCAGAAGCGTGCAGAACAACATCTGCGATTCCTCGCAACAGGTAGCTAGCCCGGAGCGAAGCATCAACTATTCCATGGGTCCAAAGACACCGCCAGAACCTCAAATTAAATTCTCTTTAAGCGCCAAACCACCTCAAGTTCGTGCAATAAACAATCCCTTACACGATCCCGACGACATGGAAAATAACGACGATGTACAGGAAGAGATTAATTCCAGGATCAATGAAACCTTGCATAAGGGCCCCAACACTCCGCCCGAGCCGCCAAATTCACCTCCCAGTTCGCCTGACGTTTACGATCCGTTTGAACCTACTAAATCCAGATCACCTACTCCGGATCCGTTGCAGACGGTACAGTCAAATCTGAGTTTGAACGAAAGTACTTTGGAGAGCAGAGCTGCTATTGAACTGCTGGAAAAATCCATAAATCCGACGAATCCGGACTTGATGAAGTCGCTTACGCCTCCAATCGCAGATGTACAACCTGCGGACTCACAAAGCAGCATCCAGGCGACGCCAGAGTCCAACGTCGGGAAATCTCCGGAAAGGATAAGTGTCGTTATTAACCAAACGGTACAACCCTCCATGTCTACTTCTAAGCCGGTAGCACAGACCACCCCGTTTTCTTCTGTACCTACGTCTTTAATAACGTCGACACCCGTTTCTTCCAATTTGGCACCGTCTCGGATAAACATCTTGAACTCTACCATTATCACGCCTCCTCACGTAGCCTCGTCCGTTCCGCAAAGGATAATCCTACCGAATCAAGTGAAATCCAGTCCCGTGAAGATTTTGCCGACCAAAGCCACCATAAAATCGACACCCATCAAACCCATGCCGAACAAGAATAATAAATCCACCGCCGGGAGAAAGAACTGGGCCCAGAACGGCAGCGGCGAGGACCTCAACTTGGACTTCGACTCCCCTTATTCCCCCGGTTCGAGCGATTACGAAGATCTGTTTGAACCTCCACCGGAAAATATCAGTAAATCCACGACAAAAAGTACAAATAAAAGTAACGCAAAGTCCCCTCAGAAGCATCAGTCGGTGTTTGACGCTCTGTTCGGCTCGCCCAGTTACAACAAATCCAAGACCAGGAACGACAAGAAGTTCGGGAAGAAGTCTTTATCGTCGGGCAAGACAAAGACGGTCGGCGTTAAGTTGGACGAAGACAATTTGAAGATACTGGATGAATTGCCCAATTCGGCAGTTGAGATGCAAGTTAAGGATAAGGTGAGTTCTATTTTTGTTGTTTGCGTTACTTTATTTGTTATTATTTTTTAGGCAAAACACACTTTCGCATAATTTACACTTTTCATTGTTTTATATGCAAAAATAACATTTTGTTTAATAGTAGGATTATGTACAGGGTATCTTAATATTTCATATACAGGGTGATCGATATATCTTGCGAAATGTATTTTTCTTGAAAAGTTCTAGATAATTAATTTCTGAAAATGGTGTTACGTTTTCAGTAAGTGCCACTCAAAAATAGGGTAAACATTTTTTTAGTTATACAGTACCTTTGATTGAGGTCATATTTACGTGGGGGGATCCAAAAATAACCGGACGAAATTCGCTGCATGCACCACTCTTGCAGTTCAGGTTTCTCCCGCTAGATGGGTGTTACGTAACCCCCTTCCGAGTCAGTCTGCCAAGAGACATCGCTTGAGACGGTTGTAGCAAATTTTTCTCAAGTTTTTGTTAGTTCTGGCCAACCGGGGAGTTGAATGTTTTTGATTGACATGTCCACAAATACCACTCATACACTTGAGTTCTGTTCAAGGAACGTTCTTTATAAGCTGTAGTTAAATCAATGTCGGGGGTCATTGACACTGAGATCCACAAGCTAAACACAGTGCTTTAAATTAATGGTAACGTACTTTTTATTTAACTTGAAATGATTTTAAAAAATATTGCAAATCTATCGGATTAAGTATTTTTATTTATCTTTTAATATTTTCATAAAATAAAAATCATTTTTATACATAAATTAGTAAATTCTGCGTCTGCACTAACATAAAGAAAATAAGGTGAAAAATGTTGCAAAAGCAATCTGTTTTTACAAAATTATTTTCCTTATAGTTTCAGTCACTGCCTTTCCCTTAGTTTCATTTAAAAAGAACAACAGACAACACTGATAATTGCGCACATACAACCAAATTCGAGAGCTGTCCAGTAGTGGCGTAGACAAGAGTTTAAGTGCAGTTGAAAACAAATTATAATAGCTATTTATGAGATTAAAAATAATATTTATTACAGATTTGTAGTCTATTACCCCTGAAAAAAAAATGACCCTGTATGTTCACAGCATCCAATGGCGCTATGTTGGTTTTTTCTCAGTTTTCTCGAGTTTTAGTACAATGCAAAGAAATTTTAGTTCTAACAATTTTTATTTAGCTCTTTTTTTAATACTTTCAACTATTGGCAATAATACTTGAAAATCACTTCTCTGAAATTCTCAGCCTTGATCTACAAAAAAGGTACTGACTTAGAGACGTGTTTATTAAAGTTTTTCTTCAAAATGGTAGTACTAAAATTATTTGGCAAAATTAATAAGTATTTATTCCGCAAAATAACGTTACATGTTCATTTTGAAGAAAAGAATTCAATAATTTATTCTACCTGCATCCGTTTTTCATGTATTAGGCGAACCAATCGAGGTTTTTTGGCACACATAAATATTACAGCAAATTTCATGTATTACCTTTTGAAAAATACTTAGTAAATGAAAACCCAAATAATTTCCCCAGCAAAGTCGTGAACAATTTTTTTTTTAAAAAAAAAACTTCAAAAATTGACATTGACAAATAATGATGGAATCGTTTTACTCTCAATAGAACTTTTGAGAATAAAAAAACCTATAAAATGGTTTTTTGTGTGATCCGATCGGTTCATTTTTTACAGAGAAAATCCGGAAAAACCTCTAAAATAGACCTTTTTTCAAAAATTCATAACCGTCAAATTTGAAGCTGGAAAAACAATCTTGCGGGAAATGACAGATATGTAGTTTCATCGCGTGCAAGATAATTTATGTCCGATGCATGGTTTTTACACAATTGCATTATAAACAAATTAGGGTTTTTTTTCGCACAGCGTGGCGATTTATCAAAAATGGTCCGATTTAAGTTCTGAAAACAGCATCTGAAAGTAGATCTCCAATTTGTATATCTCGGATTTTTGCCTGGGTGATGGGAAATATGCTAAAAACGCCCTTGAAAGTCGCCCGAATCGATCGAAAGTAGGCTCGAGTCAGAGTCCTCCGCTTGCTGCTTCCCCCACTACCGCTACCTGACTTACGAGTGTACTTTGGATCGTTTCGGGCGACTTTCAAGGGCATTTTTAGCATATTTTCCATCACCCAGGTGAAAATCCGAGAAATACAAATTGGAGATTTTGTCGTCCACTTTCAGATGCCATTTTCAGAATTTAAATCGGAACATTTTTTATAAATCGCCACGCTCTGTAAAAAAGACCCTAATTTGTTTATAATGCAATTGTGCAAAAACTATGCATCGGACACAAACCATCTTACGCACGATCAAACTACATATTATTGTCTGTCATTTTCCGCAAGATTGTTTTTCCAGCTTCAAAGACGGAATTATGAATTTTTGAAAAAAGGTCTATTTTAGAGGTTTTTCCGGATTTTCACTGTAAAAAATGAACCAATCGGGTCGCACAAAAAACCATTTTATAGGTTTTTTATTATCTACAAAAGTCCTATTGAAAGTAAGACGATTGCATTATCATTTTTCAAGATATTATAAAAAATAAAAAAAATGTCATTTTTTTGCAGTTTTTATTGTTCAAAAAAAATTGTTCACGACTTTGCTGGGGAAATCAATATTTTTCAAAAGGAAATACATGATATTTGCTGTAACATTTAAGTGTAAAAAGAGCCTCTTTTTTCCCTTTATTGATTGGCCTACATCAAGACTGAAATGTCTGGAAAATGGTTGAAAATTTTCTATATTCTTAGCAGCAGCATCAAATCCAATATTTCCGAGAGGAAAGGAAATACCGTAGCTCCACCGGGTGGCATTAATGTATATGTAAGAAATTTTTATGCTGCATTTGAGTGACAGCTATTGAAAATATAACATCGTTTTCAGAATTAATTGACACATTTTTTAATTAAATATTTATCGGTGTAAATTAAACTTTATTTTCAGTTCCTTAAGAAATTGAACAGACAGGAAAGGGTAGTGGAAGAAGTGAAATTAGTACTGAAGCCTCATTATAATAAGAAAAGGATAAACAAAGAGGAGTACAAAGACATTTTAAGAAGAAGCGTACCTAAGGTGATTCACGTCCTTCTTTATGTCGTCCGGTGAAGCTAAAGTTCCTTTGTTTCAGATATGTCACAATAAGTCCGGGGAAATCAACCCGACGAAGATAAAGAATCTGATCGAGGCTTACGTGAAGAAAATAAGGCACAGCAAGAAAGTAACCTCATCTAGTTCAATAAACCCACAAAAGGTATAGGATTGGCTTAATATTAAAAGATAGTTTTGTCTAATTATGTGTACATATTTCTTTAATTAACTGTATTGGAGTTAGTAATGATTTTAAGTTATAGCAAATTATTATTTATATTTCACTTTTGTGATTAATTACGTTAATTGTAAGATTTTTAGTAAATATACATGATGTATATTATGGAATCACTGGTTTTGTTATTCCTTTCCTCAAGAATAAGAAAAAACGGGGGAGAATAATTAATAATCACGTGGCGGCCCGTAAAAGTTGATGTAGTTCTATTTCGATAATAAAGACCGGGATCCCGAAGAAATTTGCTCATACGTTGGTTCACAAAGGTATTTTAATATGAAATAACTTGTACAATCCGTGCAATATCTGTTGAGATAGAATTCCAAGGAAAGAAGCCAATAAAGTTCTGTTATCGGGACTACTGTAACAATTTACCGAGGCAGGGGCGTCCTTTGAAATTTTCCGCCAATGTTTTCCTAACTCGGGTTCTCAGGTAGCGCTTGCAGTTAATTTCAAGAAAGTGACACAGGGCTCTTCTATCAGCAAATATCTTATAGACTATAGTGTCTATGGAAAACCTACAATTTTTGTTCTCGTCTGCTCGTTTCATCATCACATTTTCGTATCTTTTGCAGCCTAATTCTTCACATCATTCACTTTATTCACACACTTGTCCAAATGTCAAGCCAAATATCTATTTTGACACAAGATTTATGGTTACGTTTAAGTTTAAGCTCTACATACTTAAACTGACTTTTTAAATGCAATTCATAGCTAATGTAAATGTGAAAATTACACTTTTCACGTACGTGATAAACTTAAATTGTCTGTGTATACAGGGTGTTCATAAATAAGTGTCGCAATGGAAAACTGTAAATTCCTGTTGAAAAAAGAAACATTCTTCTCTTCCATTTTTCTCTCCGGGCTTTCGCTTTCGAAATGTCAAAACTTCGCCGGTCGCCTGATTTATCCCCACTTGATTATTTCTGATGGGGTAACATGAAGAGCATTGTCTATGAAACCCCTGTCAATACGGTCGAAGAATTGACCACTAGGGTTGAAACCACAGCGGAACAAATTAGAAATACCCATCAAATTATGAACAACGTTCATAGAAACATGATCCGACGATGCATGCATTCAAGCCAACGGACGTAATTTTGAACAGTTTTTGTAAATTTTAGTCGCTAAAAATTATTTGCTTTTTAAGTTAAAATCCTATCCTTAAATTTCGTTAAAATTGTTAATTATTATTACCTATTTTTTGAATTACAAGATTTTCGAAATGTTAGCAAAATATTTGTTTTTGTTCATAAAAATTCATTTTTCTTGAAAACGGTTGACTTTAGAGCAATGAACCAAGAGAACTTTTGTGTAAAATTCATTGGCACTTCAGAATTTGCTGTCAAATGTCAATTTTTCCAGTGGGGGGAAAAACCCTTAAGATACCTTAAAATCTCCACGTCCACGAGAAGGGTGCCAAAAAGTAGCTACTAATAGTGGTAATGTGTGTACAAAAGCTCAGTCCTGTACTTCAAACGGTTCCTAAGATATTGGCAAAAAACAAAAAAAAAATAAAAGTTTTGACACTGTATCGAACACGAGAGAAAAATTAATGATAAATTTTTCGAGACCAAATGTCTGAATCTGGTTCGGGCCGAGGCAGTACAGTATTGGAGGTCATGAAGGCGTGCAAAATTTCTAGGGTTGTATTTAAAAAAATGAAGTTGATGATGGTCTTGGAGAGACAAAACGTTACATATAAAAATTGCTAATGCCATTCGATAGAAGACAAAAAGTTGCCATGAGAAAGTATCCTTCTTTTTTCAATATCACCTCAAACAAGGCTGAAATGAAACAAACGGATTTCCAAAATTTCGTTTTTTTTCAAATATTTCGAAAACTAATCATGTTAGCCTTGATTTTTTAGAGGCATAATGTTGGTCCCCTGATTACGCAACTTTGCCCTCATTTTAGCTACTTTGTACCTCTTACCGTTTCCGAGATCCCTGTAGTGAGAAGTGAATTTGTAACAGCCTGTATATATTAATTTTTTTTTGCAATTTTGTTTTTGTCACTAAAGATATACGAGTATTCTATACGAGTATTGAAACCATCGTCTGAAAAATGGTATGGGTCACGCTTCATTACCAAAATATGGCCACTTTAATTTTCACTAGCCACCATTCTAATACATATTTTCTGAAATTTTTTGAAACATGAATCCAGTCAAATGTTGCTTAGTTCACTGTTTACTGTACCGTAATTGTATATGGTACAATCATATTTTTGTCTGGTATAAATTATATATTAATCGTCTAATTTATTTTTTAACCGGTGTTAAAGTAAATTCGAATTTTCCGCCTTTATTTTAGAACAAATAGTACATTTTATAGGTCTATTTAAAAAAAAGTCTAGTTTATTGGTTACTTACGATTTCTGTCATACGGACCGTACAATATTTGTTGAGTTAGAATTCCAAGAATTAGCCAACAAAGTTCTGTTATCGGAACTACTGTAACAATTCACCGCGTCAGGGACACCACAGCAAACAACATTTTGTTTTCATCGCCTACTGAACTGAAAGTTTTAAACATACAGGCCTGCAAATAATGCCATTTTTCTCAAGAATAGTTTTCTGTAGGCGATTTTCTTAAGAGAAATTTTGTTTTTAAATAAAATGATCCCTTCAAGTTGCTGTCCATTTAAAAAATACACGAACACTATAAAAGTTTTGACCACTAAAAGGGGGAGGTAACTGCAGAAAACTACCACCCAGTATATTGACTTAACTAAAGCTTTAAGAAATAATATGCCATAATGGTTTAAATAATGTGCCAGATTTTAACGCGAAGGGTTATGAACACAGGGCAGACTTGTCCTACGGAAAAAATGTAAACAGCTATTATCGTGAAACATTTAGTAAATTTCAAGACAATTGTTTTCCAGTTTTTAAATAAATAAAATAAAATATGTATATCGATTTTGTAGTACGAAGATAGTGTTGTGCTTAAATTGTAGCTCGAATTTTAGGAATTATGAATCTCTTAAAACAGAAACTTAATTTTTAAGCAAATTAAGTATTTGAAAAATATGTAATTAAAGTACCCAAATATTCACGTCCAAATAATCATGCGTATTAAAAATAATTTAGGTACTTACCAAAAAGCAAAATGCAGTAATTTTTAAATGTACAAGTACAAAACAAACTACAACATGTGCTCAAAATGCGCCACCATTTTCGATGCACGCACGACACCTTCGAATCCAATATTCTTGCACTCCCTGGAAAACACCTCAAGAAAAGGAAATAGTGGTACACAAAGAACACTCCAACATGATTGAAACACAAAGAACACTCCAACAGGATTGAATCCAGATACCAATTCAATTGCGTATTGGTGGACGGGCTTAGTACCTAGTGTTATCCGCCGCGCCTTTGTCACATTGCTCAATATGAATTTTTTCGAATTTTAAATTTATTAGAAGTTCAAAAAGTGATCAATTTCTTTCTCGGAAATGGTTGTGTTTGGGACCCATGTCATAAGTTTTTTTTTGTTTATTTTTATGTATTCTATCGTCTGTTGAAACTAAGGCAGTCAAGCTTCTAACACCCTGTTATTCTCCAAGTACTGTTAGTGAGATGTGAGCTATCATACAGTCATCAATGTCAGAAGTTGAATTGCATAATTTTCCCCTCGAAGGTAATAGAAATAGTTTGTTTTTTAAATAAAAAACAACCAAAGTATAAAAATTCCCCATCACTGAATATTACCGTTTTCACAACCCGCCGAAGTCACCACTGTAACGTAAAAAAAGAAACAAAATAAATAACAGTAATATTTACTCTATTTAAAATCACAAACGCTACATGTCATATAAATCGTAACCTACTAAATCACAAAGAATAGTCGTTTGTTCTCCAAAATATGAAAAGAGAGCAAACTATAACAAATACAAGCTAATATTTTGCTGGCTTTTAAACAGCCTCGGCGAAACCGACGCGGTTGTTACCGAGATCGAACTCGCTGTAGAACTTCCCGATAAAGACATCCCCCAAGATCCACAGAGGGCCGTTTGGAGGGGGAATGTCGATGCCCATGAAGCCAGAAAGACAGATCGTTTTTCCGGCTTGAACCACCTAAAAAATCATAATTTTATGCCATGCGGTAATCAACTAATAGCTTTGATTACACTTGACTGTGTTTTCGATACAAATTAAAGGTACTCACTCTCAAAATGTAGTCTTTTCCTTCTAATGTATAGGTGTTTCCGCCCAAAATGAAATCTATTTTAGGTAGCGTTGGAATTAAACTGCAGTCCACGATGTATTCTCCTCCAATGATCGGAGTACCACCAATTAACTATAAATTAAAGACAACGATGGTTTTTAAGTTTTGTAACGTTCAAATAAAAAATAATGTCGGCATATCTCAGTTTTTGAGTTCCACGATTTGTCGAAATATGGCGCAATAGACATGGCCAACTTGAAAAACGTTTATTGTAATCCAGAGTTGAGTGTTTCTGACTTTTTTAATCATTGATTGTGGTTATACACTTTTTGATATAACTCATCGAATAAGCGCAGGAAAGACGGGAAAATATGTTTGAAAGAATGCCTTTAATGTCAGTCAAAATTAATACAAACTTGTCCTTATCAAAAACGGTATTATTCATAAATCCAGACTGTTATAACGGGTGTCCCATTTTAAAAAATACACGTGAATATCTCTTAAGTTAAGGGCTTAATGAGAACATTTTTCAAATATACGTTTTGAGGGGGACATCTAATGGAAACATATTTTTGACACCAGAAATGAAAAGAGCAGACAATTTTACATCCGACTATGACCTTGACCATGACCTTCAAGGTCATTTGAAGGTCATTTTAGTTTTTGTTGCAAAATTCTACTTTTGAGAACAGAAATGAGAAGAGCAAGCCAATTCACGTCCATCTATGTCATTGACCTTGACCTTCACGGTCATTTCAAGGTCAAATTAATTTTTCAAATAGCAACTGATATCTTTCAGACCAAAATAGAAAGTGCGGAGAATTTTGCTTCTACGTTAGAATGGAGGAAAGTCTGTTATTTGTGCATTAGTTCATATTTAGACAAACTGTGCAATAAAATCTATAAAAATGTATTGCTGGCTGCCTATTTGCTATCACGTTCTCCAATCTCTTCCAAAGAATCTCAAGAGACCGCGATGCAAGATGAGCTTCCTCTTCCATTCATTTTCTTAACTACTAAAACAATACCGCAACTATTTAAAGGAGAGCGCGAGCAGGATTGTGTGCAATTGCCAAATGCGACTGATTTTGTAAAAGACCGCGATCAGCTCAGCCCAGAACGAACCGCGATGCGACAGGACCGCAACCGCCAAGTACGTTCTCTCCTTTAAAGACCACACAGATTTCGTTCCAATCGTGCGACCAGGACTGTACGGACCAAATCGCGTGAATCAGGGAACGGAATCTGTGGGGCCCTTTACATAAAAAAATAATTGATTTAGAAAAAAAAAAATATTTGAAATGAAATATTAAAAAATATGGTTTCATTAAAAAAAATATATATATGTTTTTGCAATAACTGGAAAATTGGAAGTTATAGAATGTGTGTGCCACTTTTATGAAAAAAACTATATACAAAAACCGCTTCACAAAATAGAAAAAAAATTATAAAGCATCAGGGGAAATGACCAAAACTGAGAAACACCATGCACCTCTTAAAGGAATCAAGATATCGCCATATTTAATTTCTTCGAAAACAATTTTTTTCCTATCTTTTCGGAGAATTCAAGGAAGCCCCTCGAATGTGCTGAATTTGGTACAACGCCATCTTGTGAGCAATCGTGAAACTCAAAAGTACAAAAGTAAACCGTTACTGAAATATGGCCGATAACCTTTCTTACTTGGACGCTCGGTTTGTCAACGACTCAAAGAATTTTCAAAACTAATACGACCAAACTTACCTTGTTAATAGATGTGACTTCGTCCACAGGTCCAGCGATCAAACTAGTACCGGTATCGGCGATAGCCTCGCATCCGCTTTTGCAGAAAGCGTTGGACCCGACCTGAACCTTGTCCATTTTAAACTGCCAGTACGCCTGCCGGTCCACCGATAGGTAAGTGAAATTGCCTTTGTAATACTTAGGATCCGAACCGCCGAGGATCAACTCGCCGCCATCCGTCGCATCTGGGTCTCTAGAATTAAATAAATATAAAAAAATCTGTCTAAAGTGTCGTGAAATGAATTCAGCACCTATTCAAGTAGAACGAGAAAATCGGCTGGGCTACCAGTCCTTGACCGATCATATTGTAAAAGACAGGAGTGACACCGTCCACGGAGATCCTACTGTAGGCCATGCCGAGTATACCGTCAAACTTGGCGGCTACAAAAGCTAGACCCGGTTCGCTTAGCGCTTCTGCGAAAGTTTGGCTCTTCACCGCAAGTGAGCCCACCTAAAAAAATAACAATTGGGAAATTGCTACGTTGCTATATGTTTTTTTAAATAAATTATCTTTTACCGTGACGATATCGGTAGATAAGAATCCACTAAGGCTTCCAGACCCATATTTGATGGCGAAATCAGTCCCGTTCTTCTTATAAGTGGAAGATTTTGTAGAGTCATATTTGTTGTGCAAAACTATGAAAAATAGAATTTACGTTCTTTAAAATTCTCACAATTGTAATAAAATTAATTCAAATTTTTGGTCTTATCAGCTTGATCTCAAGACTTCAGAGTATTAAAGATAACATTTAAAGTATGACTGATTCATTTTTAAAATATTTACAATATGCAGCATTTTATAGCTACGATTTGTTTCAAACTGGGATAGTAAAGTTTTAATCACACATTTTTTAACGTTAAAAAAAATCTGTATAATTTTGAATGAAAAAATTTATTTCTTCATTACTACGAATGTTGTTTTGAAGAAAACGGATAATCACTTAAAAAGTTCAAATGTTAAACTTTTTGGATACAGCACAACAGTTTATTTTTATCTGCACTCCTGATATTAGGTGGCAAACAATGTTTGCCAGCAAATATTATTTATTTTGTTTTTACTATCTTTCATTGCTGTTTATATCTAAATCTGGAGTATTTTTATCGGTACTGTGAAAATTTAAGGAAAAAAAAAAATTGTCAACTTATTAAAGTAACATTTTGATAATAAAGCGTGAGACCCACACCGTTTCTTACGAGATGATATCATGATCAAAATAGACAACTTCCATTTCGAAGGAAATTTGCGAAATTTAAATTAAAATAATGGTAGACTTCATTCAGAACTCAAAAAGGGTTGCACATACATGCAATGGAAACTATTTTTTTTCATGATCAGTTTTCTTATTTTTCACAAAAGTTAGAAAATCTAAAAAATTTAATGTTAATATCAGCTTCAAAATTAAATAGGCACAGCTACGAATACGTGATTGTATCTATCGGTCGGTTACGAAAAAAAAATATTTTGCGCAAAAATGCATATCTTATTGAAAGATTGTATTGTATATTGAAAATTTCAAGGTTGGCTTTAACTTATACTACACATTTGAATTTTGTCCATCCTGTTTTTCTTCGTTTTTAGAATGTTTTGTTTCTAAATTTATACATTCAAATATAAAATGAAAAGTAGTAGTTATTAAACAGAAGAATTACTAGTTAAGCTAGTTCTCTATAAGCAATATCCATTACATCGAAAAATAAAAAAACTGGACAGTTCAGTATTTTTTGTCCTTGCGGTAGACAAGTTGGATTACAAACGTATTTAGTGACACAATAAAAATTATTAAATGGAAATAATCCAGGAACTGTTTTTTTTTTAATTTATATTTAATATTTTACAAATGAATAAATCCTTAAAGAAATCAGTCAGAAAATGGGTTGTATGTGCAGTGTTTTTTCACAAAATTAGTTGTATTTCTCAAATTTATGGAATCTAAATGAATGGAATTTAAAATTAAATGAACATTTAAATAGATAAGTATAACTACGAAGGCAATTTAATTTTGTGAAAAAAAACCTGATTGTATGTATTATGAAAAAAGTATTCTGAACATACACAATTCAAAATACAATACAAAAAAATTAGGCGTATTTTTGACGTCAAAATAAGCCTTTTTTTCCTATAAACATGGGTCCGCAAATGCTTATATTACATATACGCTGTTTTTTTTTTTTAAGGAATAATTTCCAATTTCCAAAGAGATTTGAATGTTGGCACAAAATTTGGAGTATTGACATGATTTAGGATGCTAAATTTAAATATGTCATTGTTTTTGACGCTACGTGTAGAGGTCGCCACCTATAAGCGTACGCTTGAGTTAAATAGGCCCTAACTTTTTTACTACCCTGTACATTGACGTTTCATACTAGTGCGTTTATTCCTTATCAACTTTAACTTTGTGAATTCACGTTTACAGGGAAAAAAAAAGACTTATTTTGACCTTATAAATATGCCGCTAAATTCTTTGTAATGGATTTTGATTCAGTCTGTATACTTTTTATTTCACAAACCTCATTCGAAATTTTTTCATGACGAAAATTTTTTGTGAGCATATAAACCATTCCTTGAAAAACGGTATGGGCCCCACATTAACATGACCAGTTTAATTTTCACGAGCTACCACTGTTGTATAATCAATAATCATGAAACTAGAATTTGAAATGAAGTTCTAACATGTATTTATTAAGGCATTTCTCACTCAAAAACTTTAGTAACTACCCAACAATGGATAAAAAAATATTGATGGAAAATAACGTCGGTTTATCTTAAGATACCAATACTATTTGAACCCTGACCTGTATTATCAGTCGAAAGAAATGCTAACAGTATACTTACGACAAGCGATGTTTGTGTAATGACATTTTTTAGAGGGGACCCATAAATTCGAGGAGCCAGTGTCAAACACCACCTTAAATTTCTGTGGGGGATTTCCGATAGAAATAGGTCCGAAATATTGGGCCTAAAATCAAGATTTCATGGTAGCTTTAAGACTAATCGATTATAGTAAAAAAAATAAAATAATGTTTCTAGGAGATTAGAATATTTTACTTACAAAAAAAAAGATGTTAATAATTTAATTTATTGTGTTGTAACACTGAGTGTTTGGAAAATACAGTTTTTTGTACCATCATTTTGTATATTATTTTATGAAAAATTGTAAACCATGAAAACCCAATGTCTCTTAAGTTGATTTTTTTATCAAAATTACTTATTCATACGAGATTAAAACCACAGTATAGTTAGAAATGATTCTTCTAACCACAATGCAGCTCAAAATATATTTTAATGATTTTTTCATCGAATGACTAACAAACTTTCTTAAAATAAAATAAAAAATGATTATACGATAGGCACAGGTCTAAAATAATCGGGTGTGATAGTACGTAATTCCAAGAAAGATGTTTCAATCATAGCTTTTTCTAATAAAGAAAGATAAAAGCCTTTAACACAAACATATACATTTATATTTTATATTAAATCAATATTTGCTAAAAGTTCGATGACATTATGTTTGAATTACCTATTTTGCGGCACTGTTTTGTTACATGAACGAATGTATTCAATAGATAGCAATATTACCGATTAAAGAGGGGAATACCCGAACACCACTCGAGTATGAAATGTATTTATACTATAACAAAAATATTTATCGAAACGTGAAAAATTTTTAGTTCAAAAATAATATTGATTATTAAATTGAACTTACAGTTCATAAAAATCTTCTGTCCCATTCAATTTTATCTTTTTATTTACAAATACAATACACTAAAAAAATTGTCAACAAAGAAATTGAGCAAAGCATTATCTCGGTTCAACATATTTTTAAGACTGGTAAAATTAAATATATCAAATATTTGGACTGGATGTTTGTTTTTATTCAGAAAATAAGTAGCAGGTTGTTTGTTACCACCTCAAAGTGTAGGTTTGTTCACTGTAATTACACATTAATTGCTAAGAAAAATCATAATTATTTTTTCTTATGATCTCATCAAGAAGAAAATTATCAGTTTTCTTTGTTCTATTTTAACTTTTAATTTGATATGATAAAACACTTTCTTAATTGGTTTTATGATAACAAAATTATGAAGTGTGGACACATTCCTTTGTTCATCTATAATTGTGGGATTCACATACGAAATTTGGTGTAATATCTACCCAAAAAAATATATTTTCCAGGAAAATACTTACATCTAAATAATTTGACAAGGGCTCTGGTGCTGGACCCCCAACCCCATATCTGAATTTAACCTGTTGTACATGCGTACCGACTTCTTGTAGAGTTCTTCTAGCGGATTTACCACGTTCTAGTGGAATTCTGAGGAAAAATCCTTAACAAAATTCGTCCCTTTTATTGGATTATTCGTACTTACCTAATTACATCGCAATTTACTGCACCAAATACGCATAAAATTGACAGCAAAAGTAACCGTAGCATTCTGTATTTATAAATAAATCAGCTAAAAAAAGTACTATGGTGTGATTAATGGTTATGCCGGTTATTTAGTACTTATCAGTCGCCGCCACAATTACCATTTCACAAATCACAATAAACATAGAATGAAATACAAAACAAACAGAAACAGAACACAGAACACGTGATGTGACCGCCTCCTCTTCCACCACCAACTGATCAATGAAAAATATGAATATCATTCTCGTGTTGCCAACGTGAAAAAAATTAATTTAGTGGAATAAGTTTGCCGCACTGGTTCTGATCAAATATCAAATTCAACTTCAAAATTCAAATTGATTATAATAGATTTTATTGAGATCTATCGTGTATGTTACCTATAAAGTAGTAGGTATTTCATTTATGACCATGATTAATTTTTGGGTTTAGGTATATTGAAAATGTCAAGGTTGGCTTTGATTTATTAGAAACAAAATAGAACAATATTTTTAGAAATTGGTTTTGTTAGATTAAGCACGCGCTAAACAAATTATTGTAAAAATTTACATGTATAAATTCACTTTTTTAAGAAAATGCTTAAAAATCAAAGGGTTTTATTTTTTTTTTCAATGTGATTTGTTTCCATATTTGAATTTGGTTGCTACTCTTTTTTTATATTTTCTTTTTAAATTTATAAATTCAAATTTAAAATGGAAAAGTCGTACCGAGAAAGAAAAACCGGAGCAACACTAAGTTATATAAATATACAGCATGTCTTCCGATAGATGAAACAGCTTTCGTAAAAGACAAATAATATTGGCATTGGAAAATGGCCTCCTCACATTCAGTTCTGTTTCCGTTTGTCCAGTAAGCCTTGGAAATTTTGAGGGAATGAAAAATTGAATGCGAGTGCAAAATTGAAATCTATAGGTCAGTCAAATTGTTGAAATTAGGTACATCGTTTTTTTGCCAAAATTTAGTTCAGTAAACAAAGATACGTAAAAATTACGAAAAAATCTGTAGAATTGAATGAACTACTTTACTCCAGCTGAATGTTGGGGCTTCATTGCCAAAATGGCGTCCAGAGTTTGCAAGTTTTTATTTTAAAGAAAAACTAAACATTTCAGAAAAAAATGATTTAGACAAGTTGTAGAACTTTTTATAACAAAAATATTGCAAAATAATTAAAAATATGCGAAAAATCTACCGAAACTTTGACTTTTTTTTTTGGATCGAAAAATATAATCTTTTTCTTATCTTTGAAATTTAATCGGAATGGCATTGTTGCCATTTGAAAGCCGACATTTTTCACGAATTTAAAAAAAAATGTCTTACGACAAACATCCAAGAAAAAGTTTTTTTTCAGAAAATCTACGACCTCATTTATTAATAGTAAGTTCTGAAATTTACACATGTAGCTGAATACTTTCACTTCAATAGTCCCCAATGATTGACCTTTTTTTTTATAGTAAATTTAATTTTGTTGGGCCCCGTAAAATGCTGGCTCTGCTCGACACGTTGATGCACGGTGGTGTGGAGAGAAAGATTAGACTAAAGATACTCAGAAATAATATCGCAATTGTAATTTTTTTTATTTACAAAAAGGTTTAAAACTTGTATGTACATATTTGCAATTGATTAGGATACTGAAATGCAGTCAAATAGTGTAATATTATTTTTTTAATTTCCAAGGCTACTGGTTTTTATGAATTTGAAATCATGGCAGATTTTGTTTCATAATTGTTGAATCCTAGGAGGCTATTTCGTAACACCAACATTGTTTGTTTTTTTTTACGTCGTTTCTCCTATTTGGACACACTCTGTATAACCAGAAGTTTTTTTTCTTTGCATTTGAGCGACAACTACTGAAAATATATCTTTTTAAAAATTTGCTGACATTCTTTCATGAATTTAAAAAAAATGTCCTACGACGAACAGGAGCCAAGAAAAATTTTTTTTTCTTCGACAAATTGCTACGACTTCATTTATTAATATTATGATCTAAAATTTTCACATGTCGTAGTTGAATACTTTCACTTCAATATAAAAAATAGTCCGCAATGATTGATCTTTTTTTACAGTAAACTTAATTTCGTTGGGCCCCGTAAAATGCTTGCTCTGCTCGAAATGTTGATGCACGGTGTTGTGGAAAGACTGTGACTGAAGATACTCAGAAGGACTATCGCAATTGTAATTTTTTTATTTACAAAACTTGTGTGCATATTTCTAATTGATTGGGAGTATCCACTGAAACGCAGGCAAATAGTGTAAGATTATTTTTTTTCATTTCCAAGGATTACTGGTTTTTATGAATTTGAAATCATGGCAGATTTTGTTTCATAATTGTTGAATCCTAGGAGGCTATTTCGTAACACCAACATTGTTTGTTTTTTTTAAGTCGTTTCTCCTATTTGGACACACTCTGTATAACCAGAAGTTTTTTTACTTTGCATTTGAGCGACAACTACTGAAAATATATCTTTTTAAAAATTTGCTGACATTCTTTCATGAATTTAAAAAAAATGTCCTACGACGAACAGGAGCCAAGAAAAATTTTTTTTTCTTCGACAAATTGCTACGACTTCATTTATTAATATTATGATCTAAAATTTTCACATGTTGTAGTTGAATACTTTCACTGCAATATAAAAAATAGTCCGCAATGATTGACCCCCCTTTTTTACAGTAAACTTAATTTCGTTGGGCCCCGTAAAATGATCGCTCCCTTTGACACATTGATGTACGGTGGTAGGAAGGAAAGAGTGTGACTAAAGATACTCAGAAATACTATCGCAATTGTAATTTTTTTATTTACAAAACTTGTGTGTGCATATTTCTAATTGATTGGGAGTATCCACTGAAACGCAGGCAAATAGTGTAAGATTATTTTTTTTCATTTCCAAGGATTACTGGTTTTTATGAATTTGAAATCATGGCAGATTTTGTTTCATAATCACAGTTGAATCTTAGGAGGCTATTTTGTAACACCAACATTGTTTTGTTTTTTTTAAGTCGTTTCTCCTATTTGGACACACTGTATAACCAGAATTTTTTTTTCTCTGCATTTGAGTGACAACTACTGAAAATATATCTTTTTAAAAATTTGCTGACATTCTTTCATGAATTTAAAAAAAATGTCCTACGACGAACAGGAGCCAAGAAAAATTTTTTTTTCTTCGACAAATTGCTACGACTTCATTTATTAATATTATGATCTAAAATTTTCACATGTTGTAGTTGAATACTTTCACTGCAATATAAAAAATAGTCCGCAATGATTGACCCCCCTTTTTTACAGTAAACTTAATTTCGTTGGGCCCCGTAAAATGATCGCTCCCTTTGACACATTGATGTACGGTGGTAGGAAGGAAAGAGTGTGACTAAAGATACTCAGAAATACTATCGCAATTGTAATTTTTTTATTTACAAAACTTGTGTGTGCATATTTCTAATTGATTGGGAGTATCCACTGAAACGCAGGCAAATAGTGTAAGATTATTTTTTTTCATTTCCAAGGATTACTGGTTTTTATGAATTTGAAATCATGGCAGATTTTGTTTCATAATCACAGTTGAATCTTAGGAGGCTATTTTGTAACACCAACATTGTTTTGTTTTTTTTTACATCGTTTCTCCTATTTGGACACACTCTGTATAACCAGAAGTTTTTTTACTTTGCATTTGAGCGACAACTACTGAAAATATATCTTTTTAAAAATTTGCTGACATTCTTTCATGGATTTAAAAAAAATGTCCTACGACGAAGAGGAGCCAAGAAAATTTTTTTTTTCTTCAACAAATCGCTACTTCATTTATTAATATTAAGGTCTGGAATTTACACATCTTGTAGTTGAATACTTTCACTTCAATATAAAAAATAGTCCGCAATGATTGATCTCCTTTTTTTACAGTAAACTTAATTTCGTTGGGCCCCGTAAAATGCTTGCTCTGCTCGAAATGTTGATGCACGGTGTTGTGGAGAGAAAGACTGTGACTGAAGATACTCAGAAGGAGTATCGCAATTGTAATTTTTTTTATTTACAAAAAGGATTAAAATTTGTGTGTGCAATTTCTAGTATCCACAGAAACGCAGGGAAATAGTGTAAGACTATTTTTTTTTATTTCCACGGCTTACTGGATTTTACGGATTTAAAATCACGGAAGATTTTGTTTCATAATCACAGTTGAATCCCAGGAGGCTATTTTGTAACACCAACATTGTTTTGTTTTTTTTTTAGGTCGTTTCTCCTATTTGGACACACTCTGTATAACCAGAAGTTTTTTTACTCTGCATTTGAGTGACGAATACTGAAAATATACCGTTTTAAGAATTTGTCTTCCAACAAATACACATTTGCCTTGATATACCAATCGCCATGTATAAATGGGCACACCCTGTACAGGAATACTTGTAATTTTGCATTTTTTTGTTTCTTGCCTAAAATATTCGAATTAGTCGTCGTCTGTCGGAAAAGAAACAAGCGGGTAATACTGGAAACTAACTCTTTATTGCCATACCACTAATAAAATACAAATATATTTGTACCACATGGCATAGAATGCTCCATCAGGATTATTACTCGTACTATCGTAGAATACTGTTAGTCGGCAGATATTACAACAAACATTATCATTCAAACGAATTTAGTATAAAAGAGAAGCAGTACAAAAATTAGTAGTAGGTTTTTTTCCCTTTTGATATGAACACATTGAGAAACCACTGTTAGTGAGGTAATGGCAGAGCTGGCTCCTAGAGATTCACCACATTTTACAATAACGGAACTCTTAAACATCCTAAGACACACGCCGCGTGCCGTCGTAATATATTACATTAAATTCACAACACTGGGACATCGTACTATTGGAAATAAACTAATCTAGTCAGAAATGCAGTAAAAAAAAAATTAAGTACACAAACACACCTCTAAAATCTTGGCACCCGCTCGCTAACAATACACCGTAAGATTCTAGAAACACCGACATCTCCGCAGAAACGCTCTCAGGTATGCCAAAACTTAAAAATAAATGCAATTCCCTAAAGTAGTGGTGTCATGTATCGAAATACGTGCAATGCTAGGGTTCGCCAGCACCCACCACGTTTTCCTTAACCCTACCATTATACATATACAATATGGATATTTATAATCTATAAAACAATTGAAACTTAAGGATTATTCGAAATTAGGCTACGACTTTGGCCTCGTCCAGCTTGGCCTTTTTCTCGGGGGTGGCGCCGTCCTCCGGCTTGCTGTCCGTGGCATCGCCGCCTCCCGTGGATTTCCTCTTCACTGCAAGCAAAAGTACCAGATCAGTACCAGAACAAGCAAGTGTAACATAATCACACAACAAAGCCTTTAATAATAATAAAAAAAACAAATGGTACAAGAAATCGTTCTTCTATAGAGTGCGTTTTAAAAAAGGATCATTAAAGTGGTTATATTTTTATAATGAACCGTGGGACCCATATTGTTTCTCAGGAGATTTATGCCCACATAAAGAATTTTAGTGACAAAAAAATTTGGATTGAATTTTGTTAAATATTTATAAAAAATTATCATTTTTTTTTTATTTTCTGTAAAATAAAATTTTCCTCAGTGATATACAGGCTGTTATAAAATAAATTCGCTTCTCAGAGATCTCGGAAACGGTAAGAGGTACAAAGTATAGTAGAACCTCGATAATCCGAACCCCTGTAATCCGAATGCCGTTCTTTGTTGAGTTTTTTGTTTTCTTTAATTTTTTTATCTTTCTGTACAGTATAATTTTTGTGTGTGTACAGTACTGTACTTTCTGTGTGTGTATAAGATTGTATACTAAAAATATTACGAAATTCATGTGCAATACATTACATAAAATATAGTTACCTTACTGTAGCACAGTAGTATGTATTTCATAAAACAAACTATTTTGTACCTTTAACAATACAACATGCTCCTTATTTTATGGGAAATAGTATGTCAGTGTTCATTTTTTGCATGCTACTATGCCTGGAAAGCACTTTGTTTGGTAATCCGAACGATTCGATAGTCCGAACCACCCCCGGTCCCAATTAGTTCGGATTATCGAGGTTCTACTGTAGCTTAAATGGGGGCAAAGTTACATAATCAGGGAACCAACAATATGCCTCTAAAAAATCAAGGCTAACATGATTAGTTTTCGAAATATTTGAAAAAACCCCAAAATTTTGGAAAGAGTGACCACAAAAAACTTGTGATTTTCACCCGTTTTTCCACAATTCAGAGCATTAAAAAAAAATACATAGAAATATGTTTTTGGTCGCAAATTACTTGTCGTAAAAAACTGAAATGAGCATAGCTTTCAGTATTTTGAAAATTTTAAAAATCACCCCTACTTAGGGGTTGAAAAAATGCCGAAAATGAAAAATTTAAATATTACCAATTGATATAAAAACTATTAGCATGTGAATTATCTTAATATATATTTTTTACAATAATTATTTCTGATATTCTCTATTTTTGGGGGTGATTCCACCCCCTGAGCGCGCTTAAGGGTGGATTTTCTAATTCAACATGCTTATTTCAGTCGTGAGAATAAATCTTTCTTTGCATCAAGAATCATTCGATAGAAAAATTCACATGCTAATACTTTTTATATTTATTGGTAATATTCAATTCTTCATTTTGGGTGTCTTTTCAACCCCTAAATAGGGGTGATTTTTGAAAATTTTCAAAAAACTAAAAGCTTAATTTTTTACGACAAGTAATTTGAGAGCAAAAACATATTTTTATCTATTTTCTTTAGTTCTCTGCGAATTGTGAAAAAACGGGCGATTTTTACGGTCACTCTTTGTTTTTGTTTCATTTCAGCCTTGTTTGAGGCGATATTGAAAAAAGAACACTATCGAATGGCATAAACAATTTTTATATGTAACATTACGTCTTTCCAAGACATCGTCAACTTCATTTTTTTAAATATGGCCCTGGAAATTTTATTAAATTTTTTGCAATTTATAATATATTAATAAAAAATAGAGATTTTGGAATTAATACATTGAACATGAATTTTTCAAGATAAAACGTCTGAATCTCGTTCGGGCTGAGGCAACACAGTATTGGAGGTTATGAAGGCTTGCAAAAAATGTAATAAAATTTCCAGACCTGGATTTAAAAAAATGTTGATGATGGTCCTGGAAAGACAGAACGTTATTTGCAAAAATTGATTATGCCATTCGATAGAGAGCAATAAGTTACCATGAGAGTGTTCTTTCTTCAATATCACCTCAAACAAGGCTGAATTGAAACAAAAATACGGGTTTCCAAAATTTTGTTTTTTTTGGCAAATATTACGAAAACTAAACAATCATGTTAGCCATGCTTTTTTAGAGGCAAAACGTTGGTCCCCTGACTACACCAACTTTGTCCCCATTGCTTCCGAGGCCCCTGTAGTGAGAAGAGAATTTGTAACAGCCTGTATCTAAATTTAAATTTTATATTAGTAGGCATTCGATTTTTCAAACTTCATAATGCCAAAAAAATAAAGAATGAAAATTTTGCGAAAAATAAGATAACAATTATTAGCTGATTATGCAAAAAAATATATTACAAATATATCTTCAACCCTTTTCGAGAACTCAAAGTTGGTCACCCCTATTTGAATTTATTTAGTAAACGTTCGAAATTTTTTCATCATAAAAGTTCTTTAAGTGGAAGTTAGGAATCATCTACGATAAAACAATGCAGCTCCAACACCTCATGACAAAAATATGAAAAATTTTTCCGAGCTGTCACTGCTAAATACGATAATTGGGTCAAATATACCTTAGTTGTTTCACTTCCAAGTTACTGGGTGTTTAAGTTTTTTAAAAGTAGCACAGGTATGGATATAAAGATGTTTGATGTAGATTTATGAAACCTAGGATGCCCGGCTAAACTAAATGCAGGTAAACATTCCCGGAATTTGTATACAGTTACCACAATTAGCGGTGTAGGTACTGGAAGATGCCATTATTAAGAATGTTAGAATTTTGATGTCACCGACTATTTTTGAAATTTGATAATTAATCCACAATTGTGTCAAAGAAAAAATATCTTATATTTTATTCAAGACATGAATCATTTTAGAGTTACGTTTTTTAACCTAAAATAAGATTATCACACACTTGAATAAATCGAAAATAATTTTAAAATTCCTCATTTCGTAATATGTAGGAATTTTTTTTGCAATTCAATTTTAAATAAAAAGTTTCAATACTTGGAAAATTGAGTGACATAGAAATTTACCCCTTACTATTCTTCAGGTGTCAAAGAAAAAATATCCCGTTTTATTCAAAACAGGAATCATTTTTGAGTTACTTTTAGTCACATTGAATAAATGAAAATAATTCTAGAATTACTTGTTTCGCAAAAAAAAGTTATAGGAGCTTTTATTGCAATTGTACTTTTAAATAAAATATAACCATTAAATTCAGTGGTTTAAAAATTTGCCCCTTATTTTTTCTCAGAAAATGTGAAATTTCTACGTCTGACGATTATTTAAATTTGTATTTTCAACAAAAAATTTCTAATTTTTTTGTGAAAAGATCAATTTTAAAGTTATTTTCTGTTTATTCAGTTGTATGGTAAACTTATCTTAGCCAAGTAATAACTCAACTTTTTTTTTGAAATACAATTTGTGAATCAAACGAATTTATCGACAGTAGACCGCCTCTCAATATCACCACCACCGGTTGATATAATTGCACAAAAATTCACTGAATTTCTACCATTATTTAGATATGCCAAAAGCCCAAATATTATTATTAACCTACATCTTTTGAGATATTTGCGAATTTGTAACATTTTTCAAAAACTGAAATACCCTGCAACTAGCAAATTAACAATTTTGGACAAACATACATTTAGCCACCTGTGAAAAAATTTTAAAATACTGGAAAATAATGTCAGTAAAAATCCCAGAATTTCGATGACAATGAGTATTTTGGAAATTAGATCAGTGAACGAAAAAACGAAAACGAACGAAAAAACTAAACGAACAAAATGCTCTTCGTTTTATTTGAAAACAAATGCAATTTTTGAATTTTTCTTTGTAAATACAATTTTAAAAACATTTAGGATTTTCAACAATTATCTTATATTTAAAAAAGAAATTCTTATAAACCATTTTTTTTGGGATAATTTTACTTGTTCTGACTGATTTTAAACTTAAAAAAGAATATAACTCGAAAATTACTTGTTTTTTTAATCAAATCACTCATTGAATTTCCAAAATACTCAATAGTTTTGAAATTCTGGTGTTTTAGTGATGGTCTTTTGTAGTATCTTAGCCACGACATTGATATTTATGTAATTGTATACAAACAAATTTACTTATTTAAGTTTCTGTTTCTAGCCCAAATTATGTTAAGCCAACTGATCTATGTCAAATATTTTCCGAGATTGGAAATTATATTTTTCAAAAACTTTTACCACCCTGGATATAAAAAATTATACATTTAAACATACGTTCATAGAAATTTTTTTCTTAAAATAATAGACAGAACTTTTTTAAACTTTTAACACCCCGTATATAAAAAAAAAGACATTTAGCACTTATAGAAACTTTTTTTCTTAAAATAACCGGGATAATCAGTTTCTTTATTACAGAAACATTTTCAAGAATCCTGTGTGTATATAAATACAGAATATAAAAAATATGTACCGTAAATGTGTTCAGAATGTATAAGTAATGTATTTTTATAAATATTTAATTTTTGTCTATGTTGAAGAATGGAATTACTGGAACTGGTTTATTATCAATTAAGTCAAGCTTGACTTATAAATGTTAAGGTATTATCATACAAAAGACCTACAATTAACAGTGAAAGCACTTAGCTATGAATCTGAATTGTCCGAGAAAGATTATGTACGTAATGGGGCCAAGTAAAACAAATTCTTGTAGATGTATTATAAATGAAATTGAAAAAATGTGTTACAACAGCAAATTTTTGCAAGACATGTAATTATTTGCTCAAAATATCAAGTGGTAAAAAGTTTACAGACAATTTAATATTATTTTTACTCGGATATAAATATTTCTATGCCTCCTATTTCGGAACAAAATTGGCAAAATCCAATTTATTCTAAAAAAATGTGTATTATTTTCGTGTACTTGCACATTCAAATTTTGGCAGATATACCTCCACCTGAACAAACACATGTATTTAGCTTGGCTCTCAGTCAAACATTGCAAAATCTGCAAAAATGTATGAAAATTAAGGAATATTCCCAATTATTCCTCCCTACAAATATTACGTTGTTTACTACAGTTAAGTACCGTGACAAACAACCTAATACGAAGTGATAAGCTTAGTGATAATAAAAAATAGAACATTTAGATTATTTGCTTAAGAATTATTCCTTCCGATTGTGTAATACCTTGATTTAAAAGCTCAGACACTCAAAACCGATCATTTACATATCCAGTTTGTTTAAACCTCTAATACTTCTTTAAGCTGTAATAGAAACTACAATAGCAAAAGTAAGCCAGATGTGTACAATATTAAATAGGACGTTAGGATGACCTTCAAAGGAAAATCAGGTCCATATTGTGTAACAGTACACTCATTATCTACGAGACTTTAGCATTAATTAAAATATTTATTAGATAACTGCATGTTGAACTATATGAATGTTGGTTACGTGAACTTTTCAACAAGTTGGCGATAAAGGAATATAACTCGAATAACAAATTTAATCAAAGTCTGCAATGTACACCCACTATACAAAATTTCAACCAAAAAAAAATCCCTGATATTTCTAGGTTTTGATTATTTCAAAATTATACAATGGACATCACAAAGTTTGCAACTCTTCTTATGAGAAATATTTGTATCTATTTGATAAAAAAAAATCAGCCAAAATTGAAAACATGTTTTTAGAAAAATATGTGGTCTTTAGCTAAATTCCAGTATCTGGGCTAAGAAGTGTTTAGTTTTCGAGATACAGGGTGTTTAACTCGGAATCCCTGGAATCATTTACTATTCATTTAATTGGAAAATTCAAATATTATTTTGAAATTAATGATCCGGCTCGAAGGACCAACAAATGTGTGTGATAAATGGTAAGTGGACTAAGGGAGAAGTTGAATTTGCACCAAACATCAAGAAGACCGTCAGAATTCAATTTGTAATGAAAAAGTAGTGTCCGCATGTATTTCTCTGTTTTGATGAAACGCAGATTTTCCGCTTCATTCAGTGCACATGATTGGCACGAACATTTTTGCATCTGCTTAACTTGCACACCGACATTTGGTAAGTGTAATTTCAAAATTATATTTTCATTTTCCAATTAAATGAATACCAAACATATTCAAAACGTCCAAAGACAAACATACATATTTCGCTTTTTATCCTTTATAAAGGGGCAGATAAAACTGGATTGCTTGAATAAAATTTTGTTCAAATCTTTCTTGATGTTAGGTTTATTTTTATTTAATTAAGAGCACCACTTAATATTTGGGTGAACTCGAAAAGGTACCATTTAAATAAAAAATGGCTGATTTTTTTGTAAAAAAATTAAATATTCTCCATGGTTTGTTCTTAAATAAATGAAAAAAATGTCACATGAGAAAAATGGGGCAAAATTGTATTAGGCTCTCCGATTTTGTCTTATAAGGGGAAAAAGTGAAATATTCAAATAAATGTTTCATTTGCTAATTTTTAAATGTCTTGAATATATTCTAAACCAATCTCAATTCAGGTCAACGGGAATAAATATATTATCTGGTAAATAAGGACTAATTACGATTGAAATTTGAAAAAACTTCAAGGAAATTTAAGAAATTCCCTGGTATTTTCCTATTATTACCAGATCTATGAAATTCCCTGCCAATTTTCCAGTTTAATATAAGCTTAGAATGTGAATTAAAAAAAATCCCCTCAGCTCTCATAATCTTTGCGCACACAGGACCACAACTTTACAAACATGAAATATAGAAAAACTATATCCGGTATCTACCGATGCCTGCAAAGCCCTTTCCTAGCGATATTTTTCACATCATCGGAGAAAATATTTATGAAAATTTAAGGTAAGGAAAATTCTCATTTCCCAATTAATTCCGAAAAGTGAGAAAAACTGAAAGGAATAATAGAATAATAATAATAAATAAATTATGATCGAAAATACAAAAATTCTCTTAACATTTTTCATAATTTAATACATCAAAATATTTTGGGAAATCTTGATAATTTTCATAATTTTTTTTGTTGGGGTTATTTTTGTGTTACAGCATAAATTATTCCGTTGCGAGGAAATAGGTTACTATTGATTTATAACAAGGTGTACTGGCACACGTGTAAAATGTACTGTTTGATCAGTGACCTCAACACAAACAAACGGGTAAGTTTTGCCACCTGCTGCTTATATTAAGATATGACAGAAGTTTTAGTCCATCATAATTTTGTGTTAATGACCAAGCTTTTGTAATACTTTTTTAAATACATTGAATTATTTGTAATTTAGAGAATTTCATATTTTTTTATTCGAAAAAGCTCAAAGTAAAACTTATTTTGAACACAAGAAGGCAACTTTTAATAAATTTTGTACGAGTTGATTTTTCGTTCGATATATATCTATAAATAAAACGGTCTAAAGAAAATGTAAAATATATATAAAAAATATACCTTAAATTCAATAAAAAGTAATTTGAATTACCTGCACAGGCATCCTTTTCGGGTTCCCCATTTTTTTCCTTCTTTTCGTCCTCTCCCGTTTCTTCCTCTTTGCTGTCTCCATTTTCCGCTTCGCCGTTTTCTACTTTGGCGGGTTCTTCCTTCTCCACTGATTTTTCCTCGACCTTGGTCTTCTCCTCAGCCTTGGTCTTTTCTACCTCTTCAACGGTGGATTCGACTTCCCTGTAAATGGATTATTATACTGAGGAAGTGGTAGAATTTCGAGGTGCAACAACCTCGAAAAGCTAACAGACCGTTACGGGATTTTTACAATGGGTTTTTAGTAATTCACATCAGAAATTTAAATATGCATAGTATACTAAGGAAATATATGAATGGTAAAATGTTTTTAAAGAAAAATGAAAACATATTAATGGGAAAAATTGTGGAAAATTAAATATTTGCTTATTTATAAAAGCCCAAGTATATCAAATAATTTCATTTTGAAATATTTATACAAAAACGTGTTAAAACTATAAACCACAATGTTTGTTATTTTAACCTTAACATGTTTATAATCCATCTCTTTCATACAGGAGACCTGAGTCACACTTTTGGCAATTCCAAAATATTTCCCCATTTCACGAAACTTGAAACAAAAATAGCGCAGTCACGTTGAAATAAAGACTACAGTTAAAGTGTTAAAATTAATGCACGGCGAAATCCGCTTAAATTCTTAATGACTTCCGCTTCCTATTCGTAACGTATTAATTAATAAATAACACAAGTCGGTTGGTGATTATTCTTATATAATCTACATTTTACAAAATAGTGCGATAAAATTCAACTTTGTTGTATTAACAGTGTATATTTCACCGTTAGATGTGTTTACACAAGATACCTTATTTCAGTTCCAATCCATTAGATAACAGAAAGCGGTTAGTTAATATATATATTTGTTAGATAAGAAAGCGTTTATTTTTGATAAGGCGGAAAACAATTTTTACCGCTTAAATTTTGAACACGTTTTGAAATTTCTAACTATTAAAATGCCGAACAAGTGGCCAGCTGTCACGATTCAAGAAAATAAAAATAAATGAAAAACATGACCGGCGCAAGAGAACGGCGTCTAATTTACCGGCTTTTTCTATCACCGTTTAACCCGCCATTTTGCCGATAAACCGCCAAAACAAAGAAGTTAACTTTTCGTAGTAACTAACGAAAAAAATGAAAGTATCAATACAGCTTTTTACTTACTTGGCTTGTTGGGTTTTGTCTGCCATTTTTTAGTTGTTTTCCTTTAAAATTATTTAAAAAATTCAGCAAAACTCAGGAGCGCGCACGCCGACGTACGTTAGCAAGCGAAACGACAGAGAGAAAGAGGCAGCGCGAAACAGAATACGAGCAAGGAAGCTCAGCCGCTGCTTCCACCTTATTGGTCGGTCGTTTCAAGGTGAATTACGATCGAATCTTCGTTGCTTCTCGCGCCTTTCGGCGTGGAAATTTTTACTTTTGTCAATAGTTTAGTTTATTTTTGTAATAAAAATTTTGTTTGTATTTTGCAATAATCGCATCTTTTAATAAAAGTTTATCCAAAACGCAGGCAATATTATTTTATTTTGTAGTTATTCATGGATACCTAATTAATATTTTTTACCAAACACTTGTTTATAAAAAAATACGAAATATATAGACAATTTATATTATTTTTCGTAAATCTGTTAATACTGTAACATACAATATGTACAAAGTATAAATAAAACTAGAGGGGAATACTACATTTCCTTTTCATAAATATGCAGGTATAAAATCAATGTTGCTGCTAGACAAGCTTTAACGTTTCATAACACTTCAACATTTGTTTTATCTTGCTGAGAGCGTGTTCTATTTTTATATTATTTGAAATTGAAGGATATTCTCTATTTTTGTTTAGCGCGGACAGTTCGCCGATCTTTTCTCTCTCTAGCGGTTTTCACAATTTTTTATAAAGATTTTCTACACAGTTAGCGATTCCAGTTGAATAAAATTGCAGAGGGCTCCAGCAGCCGGGCCTGCTCAGAGCCATCTATGATCTATACGCGCAAATTTGACGACTTGCGCTGCTCGCAGCGAGAGCCTTCAATAATATCCAAATGAAGTGAGAATCTAGGCAAAAGGCAGCAGCCATTTTCTGTGGTTTTTAAACTGAAATCGGGGATTAGTTCTGTTGTTGTTAATCTGTTACTTAATCAATTGCTGGCTGTGAGACATTAGTGTTAAATCTAGTGATAGGGCAAGGGGACAGAGTCGAAATGTATGTGTACGAATTGTGTTGACATAGGACAATTTGTGACATTCGTGTCCTCCGCTCTTGCAACCGAGAATACACTTGGTGCTTTAGGCGGAGTGTATATAGCAAATTCGGAGCCCTGGAAGGTTTAAAAGTCCAAACCATGGGCAACAATGCCGCTACGGCGAACAAAAAAGTTGATTCAGCGGAGAGCGTCAAAGAATTCCTTGATCAAGCCAAGGAAGACTTTGAAGAAAAGTGGAAGAAGAACCCGACGAATACCGCGGGTCTAGATGATTTCGAGAGGATCAAAACCTTGGGTACTGGCTCGTTTGGCCGGGTCATGATAGTGCAGCACAAACCCACAAAGGAGTACTATGCCATGAAAATCCTCGACAAACAAAAAGTTGTGAAACTGAAACAAGTGGAACACACGTTGAATGAAAAGCGAATTTTACAAGCCATCAGTTTTCCTTTTCTCGTGAGTCTGAGGTTTCATTTTAAAGACAATACAAATCTGTATATGGTGCTTGAATATGTGCCTGGAGGAGAAATGTTTTCGCATCTCCGGAAGGTTGGGAGGTTCTCTGAACCGCACTCGCGATTTTATGCAGCTCAAATAGTTCTGGCTTTTGAATACCTCCATTATTTAGATCTGATTTACCGGGATCTGAAGCCTGAGAACTTGTTAATAGATTCCCAGGGATATCTAAAAGTGACTGATTTTGGGTTTGCCAAACGAGTCAAGGGTCGCACCTGGACCCTCTGCGGAACACCAGAGTATCTCGCACCAGAGATTATCCTCAGCAAGGGCTACAATAAAGCAGTCGATTGGTGGGCATTGGGAGTGTTAGTCTATGAAATGGCTGCGGGTTATCCTCCGTTTTTCGCAGATCAGCCCATCCAAATCTATGAGAAGATCGTATCGGGAAAAGTAAGGTTTCCCTCACATTTTGGATCGGACTTGAAGGACTTGCTCCGTAACCTGCTTCAAGTGGATTTGACAAAGCGCTATGGGAACCTGAAGGCTGGTGTTAATGACATTAAGGGTCATAAGTGGTTCGCCTCGACCGACTGGATTGCGATTTTTCAGAGGAAAATCGAAGCCCCCTTTATACCGAGATGTAAGGGGCCCGGAGACACAAGCAATTTCGATGATTACGAGGAAGAGGCGCTTCGCATATCATCCACAGAGAAGTGTGCTAAGGAGTTTGCAGAGTTCTGAATGGTTTTTGTGTTTGTGTAAGTAGCCTTGCCATTCTCTCAGGCTATGATAGACTGCCGTTTGCCTCGGCTCTTCCATCGTCTGGCTCTGTGCTTGCTTGATTGGGGTCTCTGCACTTTTTACTGCACTTCGATACCATGGATACTGGAGTATTATGTCTGGAAGTGCGTCGAATAGGTAGGGTACTGTTCGGTTCAAGTATTAGTTGTGATGGAGATTTTTAATGTATATTTTATTGTATTATTTTTATTTATTAGTCATTATTGTATATATTGTATCATAGCCGGGTTAGCATTGCACTATTTACATTAAATAGTGTGCAACACAACATTAATTTTCATATCAGTGCAGAGGTAACCAATCTTAGAGTTTCAAAGTTCATAAAGTAGTAATATGATACAATCTTACCCATTATAATAATTATTATAAAGACATTAGGCTGCCTCGATGAGCTTTCAACTTCCAAAATATTTTTATCCCCGCAAAATATATTTACAGTACAATCTTTGAATTATCATTGAGCTGACAAGTATATCGTGCAAAACTTGGAATGTACTAGTCAATTTAAAGTGTTAAGTTAACCTTTATTTTACGATATACTGCAATTGATTTTTTTTTAACAATACCTATATATTTTTTAATTATATTAGTACCTACAGCGCTTTGTAAAGTATATTCATATACATTTGCTATTTTACTTATCATTGTTTGTGCGTATATTTAATGAATTATTTAGGATAATTAGAGCATAGGTTTTACCTTTTTTTTTTTATTTTATTAAGAACACCTATCTTTATTAAGCGTAAAAATTTTAAAAAAATCGATTGTACGATAATTGTTTAAGTTTTTTAATTTTTATCATGTTTAAGAGATAATACTTTACAGTTGAATGATAATTACGGGTGTATCAAGGTATATCCATAAATAATTTACTTAATTCAAGTAATTTGTAGCCGTAGTTATGTTATAAATATGACAAGTAGTAAGTTGCCTCCATGTTTGGTTGAATTAATGATCTGAATTTATTTATTTTAAAGATAATGTTTTATGTCTGTTTATCAAAATGGATTATAAACAAGCACAAAATGTTCAAAAAGTAAGTTAACACAACCACGTAATATTTGCATAACCGTTAACAACAAAAATTGTTTTACCTACGTTATCGCTTGTCTAAAGACTCGTTTCGATATACACATATATACTCGTTGTTAATGAGTCGTGCAAATGTTGTTAGAATACAACTTTAAAAAGTGTTTAAAATGTGGTAGTTGATTTAGCAACTCCTTTTACATAAATATGTAAAGAGAAATCAGCTTTAAATTGGTAGTTACATGTGATACAAATAAAATGTGTACCTATAATGAAAGAATAAATTTCTGTAATATATTAATTATTAAGTCGTACCAACCTGTTATGTTAGTCGATATGTTATCAAAGTGAAAGTTGTATCAGTTACAATCTGCATAATTATTTAAATAAAATACCATTTGAATTTGTTAAAAGTTTATAGACCCTCATATTTGAGTTGGATAGTTTTAGCCATTGTTGATTATTTGTAAATTATGGTCCTTCTTTTTAATAGTGAAATGTAGACTTTAATTGATTAGAACTTCAATAAAAATATTTGATGTCACACTGTCATCTTTTATTTCTGAAACCACACGACTCGTTTATGTTCAACTTATTTTTTGAACATTAATCAGGCCGATTATTAGTAACTCTTCTAGATTCAAATTAATCACTTTGCTTCAAGTCGTCTGCCAAGACAAAAATATTTATTCTACACCAAATAACTTTTCTTATATATTAAAGACCAGGCTGGTTAAAGTTTTTTAAATGTCCTACTGATAGGATAATATTGGTAAAGAAAACAATAATAGTAGATATCGAGGATGATCGTATTATCAAAACATTCAGCCTTTCAAGATCAAAGATTACATTTGAAATAAAAACCCTGTTTTATTTTTGTTTTCCGAATTATTTTTAGTTCGCGAACAAATTCGCTGTATTTTTAAATTGTAAATCTGCTGTTCCGCAGTTTCTTAAACATCGTGGTGCTATTTTATTAAAACTAGTTGGGACCGCTTTGAATTAATTTTTAACGGCTCTTGCCGTCTCGGATATAAAATTTCGTAGACATGATTATGCGTTTTGAAGTAGGAGTAAATTGCTCTCACACTGGCAGACATAATATAGTTAGTAGCATGCTAAGTACGACACTTTAGATACATTTCAAAATTCCACCATTCTACAGATAACTAAAAAGATAGATAAGCAAGTCGTCCGATGTATTTATGTAATAAAAATGGATAATCGTGTCAAAATCAAGTTTATTTACCTCCAATTACCGTGTAATGCCGTTGGATAATTATATTATTCAGCGCCATAAAATTATAAAGCACTAAACGGATTTCGAAAAATATTTATAGCCCTCGATTAAACTAAATTGTTTATGTTTGGCCATATTTACATTTTTTATTAAATCCTACTGCTCTGTCCATTTCACGTACAATGATTTGAAAATTCCATCATAGTAGGTACCTACGTAATAATAATTCAATTTTTTTCTCGCGTACTTGTAACGTAATATCCATTAAATCTTCTAACAACCAAAAATGATATGAAATTCTCAAAGACCTCAAATGGACAGACCGCATTTTATGAAAAACGTGGAAGGTGATCAAGTTGTAAACAAATAACCTTGTGCTACAGGGTGAGGCATAATTCGCACGTCAACAACTAGTAATTTTGTTTGGAACAATAATTTTATTTCCTTCACGTTGGTACTTAAATTCTGGTAAAATTAAAATAGTAAGATTAAAGATTAAGGTTATATTAAAACATAACGTTCTGTTTTACCGGCAGGTGATTGGTACAATTTTTCACGAATTTATAGTCTGTAGAATCATATTATTTTCAAATAAGTAATAAAGTTACGAATCGGTTTTTAAAGAAACAGAAATTGAGGCAAAAATTAACTGTTCTCATTTTAAATTTTATTTATAAATACCATTTTTAAATTATTTCGGAAATCGTGTCTATTTACGTGTGTTTTATAATTAAATGAAGTATTTTGTGCACTAATATTAAGTTGGCACCAATTGCCGTCTGGACATATTTGCGTGAGTGGCAATTAAGATTAATCAAAAATAGATGTAACTCTGTATTTCTCTGATGTTATTTACTGTGTTTTATTAATTTAGCGAATGTCCTAATTCACTAAAAACCTATTAATACACGCTACACCAATTAACCGAAAACATCTCTATCAATTACTAGTTTTAGATGTTATTAAAACTGTGTTGAACTTTTTTGCTGAAATTTGGGAGCAATCATAAATGATAGACTTGTTGATATAGCGCTATAGGTTTTCAGAATTAAGCAAATAACACTTTACATAGAAAAAACATATTGTAATTTACAACTGGAAATACCTGTTCACCTTTTAGCACACGGTTATCCATAACATAACACTTTAGTAAATTTTATTAATATGCATACACAGGAGAGTTGTGTAAATACTTGCATTTTGCCGAGTTGTATAATTTTAAGATTTTAATCCGAAACAATTTGCTTACAGCTTTTGTCAGAAAAAATATCTTTAAACAATGGGATACCCAAAAAATAAACAACACACAGTTTATATTTAGAGAGCATTTCTTGATTTTAAAATCATTAAGTTCCATTTTAGTATTTTATTCCTGAATTTTTTAAATGTGTCTCACGGATCTGACATGTAAGCATACCGGCCTTTAGATCTCGGGTTACACCGTGGTCTGTGGGTTACACCGAACGGTTATATTCAATTAAGCCGGCATTAGGCAAAGTAATGCCCCTCTGATTGCTGAGTTGAATTTTAATCATACATTTCGATTCCTGAAAGTAAAAACAGTTTTTTATCACCAAATTTAATTAAAAAAGGGTTAACAATTATTACAACTTGTATAAATATGAAAGAAAATAGCTTTATAAAAACTCTTCGTCATCTATTTGTCATATTTGATTCTATTCATCGTTCCTTTTTAGTCCACAAATCCGCTGCATTGTGTAGGTGTGCCATGTAATCGCAAAACAACTGAAATCTTTACTTTTATTTACCGACTCCTTTTATTGTACCGAGCGAACTGTTGGAAAACAAACTCGATTTAACGCTTTTAATCTCATAATATTTCGAGTAGGACCGTGACCCTCGGTTGTTTAGTTATGGTTAGTTGTGCTCATCAGCGATCGCAACTGTTATGAAATCTGACGGCCGTTCCCATTGTTGGACAATTTAAAAGTTTTTGTCATGTCACTCGCCGCGTAGGCTCCGGATGAAAATAGACAAACATCGGAATGTTTTCCATAATGGGAATCTTCAACGAATATTTTCGTTGCATAAAAAATTGGCTCTAGATTGTATCCGAGATGACTTGGTGGTTTTTAAATCAGCATAGTTGAAAGGCTTTTAACCAGAACACATTTTAATGTATAGGGAGATTGAGTACAGCGTCAGAAAAAAGAAAATCTCATTCTTAATCGATATTAGAAAATAGATGTGGTAATTAATGATATAATTTTTGGATGGTATGTATATTGATTTGGATCTAGAAGATGTACTAAGATTTGTTTGAGCTGAACTGTACTTTACATGCCTATTTTAAGCGAATTCTTAATATTTTTTGAAGATTTTATCTGCTTTTTTAAATGCATATCTGTTACCTACCTGCTTTATTGGAATTTATTTAAATGTTTCCAGAAATAAAGGTATATTCCGTACCTTTAAATATGTTTTATATATAAATGTACCTTATAGTCTTTGTTGTTTATTTGTAAGTACTATGTTATTGTTATTAAGTATATTCAGATTTTACGTATTTCAATAGGCACGCCAATTCGTATTTGTTGTTACTTTAGTACTTATTATAGATTTTACTATATACCATGTTCGGTGCTTTGCGAGAATAGCTTTATTTATATAAGTTGGGCGGTGACGAACTGGCAACATCGCGAATCGTAACAAGAAGCACGCGATGCGTTACATCAGATCTAGATTGCGATAAAAATAAGCAATTGTTATCGCTCTGCTTTTGTTTGAGGTCGCCGCCGTTGTGATTTTCTATGCGGATTCGTAGGAACTACCCCTCGTGTGTACCTACGCTACGCCTACGTTATAATTTAGAAGATATGTACCGTCAAAATGTTTTCGTTGAGTTTGTCTTGTCGTATCCTAGGACAGGGCTGTGAAGAATGGTTTCCATCTAGCACAAGGGTTTCATGATCATATCCGTGGTATTCACTAATTGGAAAACAGATCAGGAGAGAAATTTTGTTAATTGCCTTTTTTTCCGATCGGTTGCCTTGTACATTTATTATTCTTGTAATAAATGAACAGGGGGTTAAGAGGAGCGTGGGTAGGTCTAAGGTCTAAGGGAAAAATATTTGTCGTATTTGTAAGTAGCTTCAATTCATCAATTGTTTTGTTTGTGACTATAAAAGTTCTAGTAATATTATTTTTTTGTTTGTGGAACTGTAACAATCAATATGTTTCCATTATCTATGTGCTCAAGTTTCATATTCAACAACTCATTTCAACGACCGACAAGCTCCGTATAATAAGAGAAACCGATAATGCAATGCTAATAAATTATTCCGAATCATTTGCTTTCTTAAAAAATTTAGTGCATTTTTGTGCAGGAAAATTACATAATTTTGTTTCAAAAAGGCTCGAACTTTATAAAAATGATCAAAATTAATATTTTCCTTGACTTTAAAAGTGCTTTTCAACATTGAAAATTCAGACCTGCATTTACAATCTTTGATCTTTCTGATAGATAAGCCAGTAGTACATTTTCTGTTAAGTTTTTGGCTTTTTATTCCTTTTCCAGTTATTAAACAATTCATAATACTTTTCGTACCGTTGTCTTGACTTGAAGAGGGAGCAAGCTAATTTTTGCTGGAATATAACTGAGTACAACTCACATAATAAAAGTGTAGATCCCTAGATCTGGGCGAGGGCCGGAACATTTTCAAAATCGCAAGAATATTATTAATATTAATACAAATTAAATGTAAAAAATTCGAATTAAATAACAGGCTAGTAGAATATTAAATGTTGGAAGCACCAAGAGTGTTATAGGATAATAATGTCTATACCACTGTCGATTTCGGTGCATTATCATCCACATAACCCCATAGATACCTTAAATGCTATAATTGCACTTAGATTTTCAAAAAAAATATCAGTCTTATGATAAAGTGATAAAAATATATCTATATAGTACAGGGTGGTCCCTAAGTATATTCCGATAATAGTAGAGGTGATACTCTATCATTTTAAGGAAATAGTTCTTATATGCCCCAATTTTAGACCTACTCTGCAAATATTTTAAAAGATGCTTGACTTAGTGACATTAATATAACTTGAGCTGATGAGCTAAGAACTTTTTTCATGGAATGAATTAAAAAGCACCCCGGAAAGTACCTAGGACCTCCTGCATAAAACTTTTTATTGGACCATCCAACATATTTTTTCAGTAATAAATATTCATGCTATACATATCAACCTGATCTGTCCATCAGTGCTGTTTGGAAACCATACACCATGTCCAGTACTTCCTCTAGTACCTAAAATTTAGTAAGTTAACAAAAAAT